GTTTGCTTCATATGTCTTCCACGGCATAAGTGTCAGAGTGGTGGTGGTGGTGGGGGGTTCTGTCTGTCCCATTGTTTGCTTCATATGTCTTCCACGGCATAAGTGTCAGCGTGGTGGTGGGGGGGTTCTGTCCGTCCCATTGTTTGCTTCATATGTCTTACACGGCATAAGTGTCAGAGGGACATCTGAGTGGTTGAATTAAGCCGAAGTCATTCTATTGAGTTTGGTGTCAATTACTATCTGCATTTTCCCAATAGTATTCTCTGTTTCTTTTTTCTCGTCTCGTGAATCACTGGAAATGCCTAGCTGCTTTGTCAGTGAACAGTCGCACTACCAAATTTTGACCTGCAGTGATCAGTGATTTCAAATAGTCGACCATATATAGGCCTATAGGGGAAATTATGAATAAAAAATTACTTTTGTCAGAGGGAACTGATTTTTGTACTGGAAACACTCGCAATCGCGAGCTTCAAAATCTTCTCTTCCTCTCCCGACTCTGGGTTTGTTTTTGTCCTTTAGAAAAATTATTGCCGTTCGCACCCAGTTACCAATATTCGACTGGTGGATGGCGACTATCCAAACGAGGGCAGGGTGGAGGTGTGGGACTGGTTTGGGGGACTGTCTGTGACGACGGCTGGGATCACATCGAGGCCGGTGTGGTTTGCCGGCAGCTAGGATTTAGCGGCTACGCCAAACCCACCCACAAGGCTGCCTTCGGCAGGGGGACAGGCCCGATTTTGCTGGACAATGTGGCGCGTGACAGAAGTAAGTTTCGGCTTTGGGGACCAAGCGACTCTACAATCGTTGGAAAATGTAGTAATTTCATTTTTTTAAAACCTGTACCGCGACCTGTTTGGGACGTGATGCAAAGCCTAAATCACTAACCTCCTTTAGTCTGTCTTTTGCCAAAAAATATGCATATTTCACAGGAAAAGGTTTTGTTTTGTACTTTCCGCTCACGATTTGATAAACAACAGTTATTTCTCATTCTGAACAATGTTCTCGTGAATAAAACTTGCAAAATATTATTACTGTAATAGACGAACTGATGAACTCTCATTTTTGAAAATAAAAAGGGCACGTTCAAAAGCACAATACATACACGGGTATTGGCATACCCTGTGTACCTTTATTGTTAGTGGTGTGCATACGTAGGCCTACGCTTTAGTCTAGTGGGATCTTGCCCCTTGATGTGGTATGTGCTTTTCTTTCTTAAATTAAGCCGAGTCTCGTCTCCAGGGCTGCGACTTTGACATCACTCACAATTGTGTGCCGTCTGAATACGCAGGCGTCGTTTGCCAGTGTAAGGTTGAAGCTTGGTGTTAGTGGCGTTACGGTGTGCACTTGTGAGTGAAAGCTGGAAAAGTTGGAAGAAGTGATATAGTGTTTGGAAATAGTCCGAGACGTACATCCGGCCGGAAGCGGTGCTTGGATGGGGTTCGAGAGGGCAAAGCCAACTGACATCTCTTCACGAGAAACACTCCCTACATGTATGCCCTGTGAATGGTTCGCTTCTACGCCTGCAATTTGCATTGACAGTATGCATTTTACAAGGCCTACCTTCTAGAAAAAGCCCCGTATATTAGAAACAAACGTAGGCCCATCTTTCATAGTCTTTGGTGCTGTGTACATCCGCTGCTTCAGCGGCCATGTGAATCATTGCGATCTAGCACCAGTACATCAGTCACGGTGTCATGCACTGTAATAAGTGTCACAGTCTATCCCATTGGACAGGATTAGAGTCCATAACATTTTTCACGGCGTAATATTAAAGTTTCTGGACGCATGCCTGGCAATATAGGCTAGGCCTATATGCATGAACATTTAATTTCATACCTGTCGTGTGTTGAAAATAAACTTCGAAGCGGAGGAAACAGTGATGAATTCAAGGGACCGTTTTCTGATATTGTTCGCAGTGAACTACTGTACCGATTGCAAAAATATTGTATGGAAGAAAAGAAATTTATTAAATCCAACTAGGCCACACTTTTATTGCAAGTTTGAGAATATTCAGCTGTAAAATAAATCGATGACTGACACCTAGACGCCCGTGTATATTATTTATGTCTTTAGATTTGAAACCGAGTTTGGATAAAACTCCAGTCTGAGAGTAGAAACTTTTCCAAAATCACTGTGGTTTGTGCAAACCTGGCCGGAAGTGGTTTGCAGTCTTGAGATGCGGATTTTGTGAAACAGTTTTTCCTTGGCAAAATCAACCCATTATTTCACGGCCGATTACAACATAATGACCATACACGCACATCTTATCCAATGGAACCGTACCCGGCTACGGCAGGGAGCGCGTGTTGCCCCCAAACAACCTAACAGATCCCAGCGCAGACACCCTGTTATAATTAACTGGCAATTAATTTTCCGTATCTGCATCGGGTGAGCCGTGGCCCAGTGGTACGAAAACGGACCTGAAACATCTTCATGTCACATTCCCTACCGGCACACAGGTCGGCCAGGTGTTCGAGTATACGCTGGGACAAACTCAATACTCACCCTTTTACTTTTTTTTTTTACTCTACGAATATCAAAAACACCCGCCCATAACCATTCATAAATTGTAGCAGAAGGAAAAATAATGAGGGAACATTTTTCTTCTACGATGAAAAATGAAAGAACAAACAAATCAAAACAAAACAAAAAACTGGCATGAATAAAATTGCATTTTTTTTTCATTTGAAAGATTTAGAACTTATAAGTAGGTGTCACATCCCCAGTTCTTCCCAACCCCACGGACATAACCTTCGGCAGTTATTTGCACTCTCACGCAAAATAAAACACCAGATACAAAATATTCTACATACGGCAACCTATTTACAAATTTGTTATTTTAAAAAGCAACCATATTTACAGTTTCGTTGTGAAAGGTACATGATATGAACTACACCTGGGACTTTGGGGGTTTGAACTTCATAGCTACACAATATTTATCAAACAATTAATTAACTGAACGTAAAACTAAAAAGAATCTTGCTGACGCTGTACTGCGATAGGTATTGTTTCGTCTCGGTCCGACAGGAGCTCTCGAACGAGTTCGCCGCAGAGTAGCCTACGGGACAACACCGGCCTGACCCTCCGTCACTACACTGGTCTTGAGTTGTCCCTCGGGTTTCTGCTGGCCCTTCCTAAAGGCGAACTGATTGTCCGTTACTCACAGTAGAACCCTACGTAAAAGAAACGCAAACCTTCCGAGTTTCTAAACACCCATCGAGTACAAATGTTCGACAACGTTGAAGGGTGTAATTATACGGGATATCATTATACTAGAAATTCCACCATTATCGCATCTTCAATTGCATTGCAACTATTTTACAAAATAGGGACCGCTCCATATCTTGACACAAATAATCTTTAAAAGTGATCAATACAATCATAAATCCAGGTTCTGTAATGCATTTTTCGTTATTCAAATAATCACTTAACTTAATGTAAGTCCTTCAGCTCAGCTGGCTGGATTCTCGCAATTCTCGTATCAATCACAGCAAAATCATCGAGGTTGGCAAGACGTGCCCTCTCCTCGGACTGTCCGACTCAAGAGTCCTCTACACCCCGAAATTTTCTAAACCCCGCCAAAATGTCTACCTGTGACACCATAAAACCTCTGAAACTATGGTGACCTTATCAGAAACGATTTACTGTAGCGGTAATCAAGTGTTTGTCTGTTCTTTCCGCAAAACTGTCTAGTTTAAATTAAAAAAAATACTGCATGGATAGCACTGGCCAAATAAAATCAACAATTTGTTTCTTTGAACGCACAACTCATTTAACTTAGAACATGTTTGGCTCCCTTACCTAAATATAAAAAAAATATTTCTCTTCATCAAATTAATCTCACTTCGTGAGGCTAGGCCTACACTCTAATTTGACGCGTGGTTTTCAGAAGAAAAAATTGAAAAATGAAAATGATTTAAGTCTGTTCGGTGTCTTCAACAAAGGCAATGTGTTTCATTCTAAAGAGAAAAACAAAAAACGCTTTAGAAGACTGGAATGGTATTCTAAAGCAGACTGGCAAACGTCGTGTGTGTGAATTTGAACGTCCTGTTTGTGAGTTTATGCTTCGCCTTTACGAATAAGCCGTTTGCGAGTAACTTTGACCCAAAACTGGTACACTTAATGTTTTAAATTCGCGTTAACATAACAAATTGAATTCTTCTTACTAAAACCACTGTTGCTATACCTCGTGATTCGGGGTAAGCTTTTGCTTAGTTACACAAGAGACGCCTTGCAATACACTGTTCTCGATGGATAAGAAGGGCACAAAGGAACCAGTCCATTCCAGAGATGGCGGTCGCAATGCGAAAGCTTGCCCCGAATATAACAAGTGTCTTCAGTCTGGGGAATTTAAATAGTTACGTTTATGTACAGTCAGATAACTCAGGGCACCAGATTTTATTCAAATTTAACTCGCAAATGGAAACATCGTTTGTGTGTGAGTTCCAAAAGTCGTGTATAGTGTGCAAAGTTAACATTTAATCCGTACACAGATATCTCTGTTCCTAGAGATTTCTCTATTCCTTAATAGAGAAATTGTACATCCTTTTTTAATAGAGATATCTCCATTATGAATAGAGAGTAGGAATAGAGATATCTTTATTAAGTTCCCGCTTCTGAGGTCAGCAGGAATAGAGATCTGAGGTCAGCAGGTATAGAGATCTGAGGTCAGCAGGAATAGAGATATCTCTATTAAGTTCCCGCTTCTGAGGTCAGCAGGAATAGAGATATCTCTATCAATAACGGAGATATCCCTATTAGGAATAGAGATATCTGTATTAAGTTCCTGCTCCTGAGGTCAGCAGGAATAGAGATATTTCTATTAGTCATCCGGGAATAAATGTGAACTTGGCACATCTAGGTATAGAGATATCTGTATACGCGGATTAAACATTAACTTCACATGTCATAGTAAACTTCTGTGCAATAACAACTGTCTGTCATCCATCACATACATGTAGATTGTTGGGGTCTGGGAAGCAGACTTGTGTAGAGAGTACTGCATGTAGTCTAGTACGCTACCAGGCGCTGGGCCAATTTCATGAAGGGTGTACCACTACAAATAAATTCCCATAGACAGCAGTGATAAATGCCCATATGTCACAAATATTTAAACAATACTCACAACTCTCACAGGTGTTCAGGATGCACAGAAAAATGATGTTCCACGTGTCCTCTTTCATTTTCCTTTCAATTTTTAGTGGGTTGACCAATGACTTTTTGAGAAATTCTCACCCAAAGCAGACCCCCCTAAAACGAAGGAAATTTCACTGCCCGGGAAAGTAGCCATTTTGAAAATGCATTCCTCTGCATAATGATGGCTCAAATAGTGCCACTTTCGAAATACAGGTTACCAGCCAAAGATCCATGTCATTTTTATGATAAGCGAACATCAGCTGAACACCAGACACAAGCAATATGCAACTCATGAACATTTTGGTTGGTAATCCTGTTTTTAACAAGGGAACAAAATCATACTAATTTTCCACGAAATTGGCACTGACCACCCACACGACATTCAAACAAACACAACGTTCAACCCACGGATGTGTATAATAAAATCTGGACTCGCAATGCCCTTAATCGGCCAATAGAGATCATTGAATCCACTCGCGGCCATTTTACTGAGCCGAGTACAAAGCTTTCCTGGCAATGCCCGCCTTTCTTCTTCCTGACGTCAATATATAAATTGCTGGTTGGCTTCTTTTTCGTTGCAAGTCCAGGATTTTTATATACGTCCGTGGTTCGACCTCACAAGCACGACGGTCTAACACGCAAACACCGTGACGTTGGCAAACTCAGTCACAAACACGACGTTCAAACTCACACACACGACGTTTGCCTGTCCGCTTTAGAACACCATGGGAACCGGATTTCAATCTTAGATCCTCATTATATTAACGAGTACACGCTGTAAGGCATGCATAGCACGCAGGAAACTGCGTTCCCTTTGAGGAAATACGGAAGGGCTGCGCAGCACCGTGATCAGAATATCGACGAGAATATAATATCAAATCAGTGCTCTGAGATATGTGATTGCCGAGCTCTCGGTAACTGAGAGTACCTTCTTCAGGGCGAGCAGATTCACTGAATTCAGTTCACTGAATCTGCTTGCCCTGAAGAACTTGAGGTACTCAGTTACCGATCTGAAAGCTCGGAAAGCACACATTTCGGTGCGTTCCGTTCTATGCGGGGCTCGAAACGCTTAACGCGCGCGTCATCATGACATGGACGCAACGTTATGAACATTCATCATCCATTTCAGTCTGCGATGACAGTCAATGCTTACGAAGCGTGGGTATGCACGTCTCTTACATAGTCAAAGAAATAGGGTTAACATAGTTGCTGATATTTTTTCCTGTTATCTCTGAACTGCGTTATGCTACCTATAGTCCGTGTGTCACCAACAACTGAACTAATTTTCAGAGTGTGGATCTGGATATTTTCTGTTGCAGTCACCTCTTTACGAGTACAGGCAAATCGTAAGTAAAAACAAGCATAGGCCAAAGAGAGAAAACCTGTTTATTTATCTCGAGGAGTACATCGCCACTTCGGCGTTTCTCTTTTTGCAGCTATGTGTGAATTAAAAACTTTCAAGTGAAACTCCAGGGAAAAATATCAGCAGAGCATTAAGCTTTTACTTTACAGAATAAATGCAGAAGTGAACCCATTGAAATTGTCTAGAAAACGGATAAAATGATCGGTGCTCGCTCACGATCGGTGTTGGACGTCCGATAGGCACTAATGACGACCTCGATCAACTTCCGCCAACTATTGAGGGCGTTATCAAAAATACGGGGCCTGAAAAAGCACTGCGCACCTTTATTTTAAGATTTCCGTAGCCGACGACGGGGGCGCCGATTCGGTGGCACTGTAATTTGTGACTTTTTCCAGAAATACACATAGAAAGGAGTTTTGTCATAATATCCAGATCTATTACTCATATTAATGTTCATTATGATTTATTTGAAAGGATGAAAATTCATGCCTCACTGTAACTTGAAGAAGTAAATTGGAAAACAAAAATTAAAAACTTGAACAAAAAAAGAGAAGGTCATGGGAAGTCAAGCTATGGCGAATAAAAGTGTTTTCCCCTCAAACTGCTTCACGAAATCCAAGTAATTAATGCAAAAAATAATTCCTCATTAAAGAAATATCAACTGGCATATTTTTCAGGAGTAGGGCATTACCAACAAAATAGCGTGTGCAACGTACGTGCGTGAGTTATGGTGACGTAAGTTTTACCGCAGCCGGTCCGACTCGTCTGCGGACAACGTTATTCCTGTTGCTTCGGGGACGTCGTATGTTCTTCATAACATTATTCCATGTGGTATTTAGTCACACTTTCAACTAATGAGAATGAAGCTGCACAAATTCAGTTTATTTAAGAACAAATTTTGGTCAAAGAACTAAGTGCACGAATTATTATGGATAAGTGCTCATGTAGCTCACCATTTTAGCCCGTACCATCAGTCGCAATGAAAATGAAGACAGGTGTCAGCTGGGCCACAGTTTAACTCCGGATCCACCAGCTCTGAGTCACAGTTTCGAGTGTGGATAGACCAAAGGCTGTAATAGGAAAAAGAAACAATATTAATAAACCTGCATGTACAAGTAGTAAAGACAAATGGGACATTCTCTCATGCAAACTCGGGCATGTGGCAGAATATGTCCCAGTTTTGTCTGCTTTTGGATCGACTAACACCCCCACATAGGAATCCCCATCATTTTGGAGGTGCGCGGGCCAGGCTAATCAAATTTTAATGGGAAGACCTCTGTAATATTACCGTTTGAAAGCCACCGTTGTGAATCTTTCATCGTTTATCACAAAATAATTCCTGCGCGTCGTGCGGTCCAATTTGAATAAAAATTATCTTCTATACAAGTTCACTCGTAGAGTTTACTCTTAGGAAAAAAGCAGTCTGAAGCTGTTTACCCCCCCGAAGACGACCAGAGCAGGCTGTTCGGAACGTCGAGAGTTCACCATTGGTTCCCCCTTCACAGAACCACACGCTCGTAAAAGAGATTCTTCCTTGTACATGGTGCAACTGCAAGCAAAACCTAATTTTGAAAGTATTTTAGGGAGTGAAACCTGTAAGATGAAGTGGGAGTTTTGTACATGTATACTATTTGAGCTGTTAAAAATGATATAAGACACTTGACTGCAAATTGTGATGCTATCTCTTCAGAATTCAAAGAGGCCATATGGCTGACACCGCAGGCGACTAGCATAGACATGCAGTGTAAGGCAGACCTGCTAAAGCGCTACCAACCTCAGATCACTACAAGGCAAGTTGATGTGTTTTCTCTGCTACGCTGACGTATGGGTCTAGCGGTGCCAATACTGCTAGGAGAAACCATAGAGCTACAACCCATGGAGAAACTCCACCAACTTAAAAAATTGGGGAGGACCTCGCTCGTTGCCATTTTAATTTATCTACAAACTGATGCAGACTAGACGAATGTTAACTGGTAATGGAAACACTAATTCATTATGTGTACCAGTAATAATTATAACGTCCTAACTTTTAATAAACTTATATTGTAAACCGGTCTGCAATCTGCAGTTGGGTCAAGGATGGCTTGCCGGTCGTTGCGTCCCAGCGACTTGAGTTGGACAGCCTCGGAACCCTCCGCATCACCAACCCGGTCCCCGAAGACCACGGTCTGTACGCCTGCCAAGCCAAGTACTGGGATACAGTGATCACGACCAACGAGATACGACTCCACGCGGGCCCCCCGGGCCGTGCGCTGGGGGAGTCGTGTAAGAAAATGATCCTCGCTCAACGTTCAAGAGTTCAGTGGCAGCTCGCTGGTATTATGTATCAAACGGGAACCGCACACTTTCAAAAAACAATTTTTAACCATTATCTCCAGTTTTAAACCCTTCGCTGACTTCCAGTGTAATAGATTTTCAAACAGAAATCGGAATCACTGCCACTTCTAAGAAATTAAAGGAATTTCAGTAAAAATCCCATAGGGTGAGACAAAGAAATCAAGTACTCATAGGTGAAGCATTCCAATAACAGTATTGTCAACAGATTTGTAAATTTTTTCCATTTTTCCACAGCTTTCTGGATCGCTCAAAACAACGATATTGTGGGCGTGTCTAACGTCTGGGCGATATCCATTATGCTCATCACAGCCATTGGGATCGTGTGGCTCTTCGTAGTAATAGTACTCCGACTCAAACGGTAAGTACGTGTATTCGCGCAGGGGAGTTCATCCCCACAGTCTCCTCCCCCCAGTTCGATCCAATGGAGTTGCCGGCTTAGCAACAGTGCGTTAAGATGGGTTTTGTGGTGTAACGCAAACTTCGATTCGCACGATTACCGACCGACAGGGACTTTTAGCCAGTTGGCGCATCTTTCAACATTTAAAAAACATAATTCCGGACGGCATATTCTACATGTGCAACAACACTCGCTTTATGAGAGTATTAGATTCTCGGAAAAACTAACACGTGCAATTAATTCCCACTACATTTGACGTTACAGAAGCAGATGCTGCGGCAAGGATTACGAGCTGGTGGCTTCCACCGCAAACTGACGACGGAGGATAGCTGCAGGCGGCAACGGCTCGTTGAGATGGAGCCTTGTCAGACCTACATAAAGCGATTTTTTTTTTAAATAAAGCATCAAAATATCCTCGAAAAATTTCAGAAGGAAATGCCCCAGTCGCCATATTGAAGCATCTTTTGGCCTCTGGTAGGTGGAGCTTTGATGCAGACATCCAACGCAGGGAGGTTGAAACCATGGATACCTGCAACACCTGGCGTTCGATCTTAATTTTGTGTTGTTGCACTGGTAAGAGCGTACAGTCGCCTCATTGATCATTATAAATGCCAATTTTGAAGGCTGGAATGAAAACAAAGACAGCAATGTCCCCCTTTCTCGGTGCAAATATACACATAATTCTTTTATTATCAAAATAAAGCATTACTTTAATAATCATTCACTGTTAAAAGCCCCAAAATACCTGCAGCAGAAGGAAATAATTTGTAGACCCTTTAAAAATAGTTGATGTTCACTTCTTTTTTTGGCTAATCTGGGTATACCTATCCATCAATGTGCAAAAATCCTTTCCTGTATAAAAAAGTCAGGTATGTCTTCATCCATCATATTACATTCTTTCATTTAAAACAGCAATCAAATAACAATTGCTTGATTGCAAAGCATAAACTGAGAAAAACCAAAGCAAATCTAAACAGACAAAAGAAGATCTACAATCACAAACACCTGTAAGTACAGGCAAGCGTTAAAAATGCAGATAACTTTATACAAATTGATGCATGTGCTATCTGGTGATGAGCACAGACGAGAAGGCTTTTTGACTCTCCGAATTTGAATGCAGAGCGTCTCCCCACGAGCTTCCTCTTTCCTTGAAACTGATTGGAATCAGCTTCTTGGTGAGTTACACTTACTCACTCACACATTTGAAAATATTGAGTTACATTCTCAAAAAGCAACTTTCATTTCCTAAAGAGGAAAATCAGTTCTTTTATCATTTTTTCATGCGCACAGAAACAACAAATCGAATCTAATCAATTTGCAGCACTTGGCACGACAAAAGTAATCTAAACTATTTTGTATAAGCAAAACTTAAACCGAAAGGTCCAGTTTACTCAACTGGTTCACCACTACAACATGACATTTGTTCATTTGGCACACAACATATATACAGATCAAACCTCACCAAAGCATTATTATGTATCTCTTGAGGAAATGACAAGTGTTGTGTGCTGACAACTTTTATTACCTTGACTGGTTAGAAAAATATACAAAGGTACACTATGGTGTAAATGTAACATATCAGAGTTGTGGACTTGCCCCTGACAAGCATTAAGACCTGTCATGAAATCAATCAACGGAGTACAGCAATGGTTGGATAAAGCTAAGTTAGGCTCAATAAGTTTTGACTGGAATAATGTTTACCATTATGTCCCAGAGCACCACTTGGCAAATCCATTGTAGCGAAAAAAGATATGCTGGTTAAGTACACTCAAATCATAGGGAAGACAAACACTGGTGATTCTGAGCATTTGCACATTAGCTTGTGCACGACATAAACAACAGTGGACCAGTCAGGTGGGACTGGTATATACACATATGTCACCATTAGGTCTCAAAAGTCTCTCTTTTTATGCGGGCAAACAGTACGATAAAACACAAGACGGGAAAAAAGTCGGTGTGGTTAGATCCACGTGCATCACCTTGTGGGTCAAGTCAACTGAGCAACTACAAAAATCTATCCAAATTATTGCAGAGTTTGCGTGTTCCCCTTCATCCACCAATTCTCTGAAAACAAAAAATTATATACATCAAAAGTCACAAACTGCCTCATTTAAGGGGTGGGTCCAGACCTTTGTGAGTTCTCATGTGACACTCTCACTTCCTGCCCTCATGGGGGAAACTGCACCATGGGAGGGCTGGTGACGGCGCAGAGTTGGGCCAGGGCAGTTCGTATGACGGGGAACTTGAGCAGTATCTCCATGGCTTCGTGGATCAGGCAACTTTTACTTGCCAGGATGATTGACGTGGGTATGACCTGGAACAAAATGTATAAGCATCAATGGCTAAGATCCTGAATGGAACGCAATGGAAGAGAAACTCTTCTCCTAGCGACACCCCACAATCTCTTCAATCTCCAAACTGATCGTTGCCTAATTGCTGATGGAACTATCGTTAGCCGCATCCCTTTGACAACCCTATGTAATTTTGTACGTTGAGTTTTGTCTTAGATTTTGCGCGTTCTGCATCCATTTTGCATATTATGTAATTGGACAATATTTCTCAAGCTGTGCTGATATGATTCTACTGCAAGAGGTCAACTGTTACGTGTTGCTCTATCAGACAAACATAAGCATAATGCGCAAGTAAAAAATAGTTCGATACACGACTCTGAAAAGCAGCTATCAAGAAATGTGATTGTGGATGTTTTTCTTTGGAATTGGGAAATTTCAAACAAGATACTACTGAGGCCTCTGTTCAAATTCCATTGCTGACATCTTGCAGTGTTCTCCAGCAGGTTGTCATCCTACCTTTACTTTTTACGTGCTGCACCACAAAAACATCTACACCCATCGTTATTCACCAACAGATATTGCAAAACAAGAACTGGAATTCTGTACATCTCCGCCACCCACAAAATTTCAGAACTGCCCACTTATGCAAGATAAATGTTATCAGGTGCCTTCATGTAAACCATTGTCAGAATTGGGAGCAATATGGGCTTCTCTGTGGCGCCCTCGTAGTGGCAAACTCTAATGTGAACAGCTCCCATTGAAAGTTAGGCTGTGTCCAAATTTACTTGGCTAAGGCTGACAACACATGGGACTACGGGAAACGCACAAAGCCTCAGCCACAGGCGAATGAGCCACGTGTTCCTACCTTTGGCTTGAATGAACCTACTCTGGTGTGCTCAGACACCGCCACCTTTCTCAGTTCTTCGGACACCACGTTGGTGCCATACAAGGCCCTGAGGACTGCATTCAGAGCGGTGTCTTCTGAACATGTGGCAAGACTCTGCACACAGTAACGAAGAAAAAAAAAATGAAGCTAAGAGCAAGTTGTCAGGAAAAATTGCTGAGCTGCATAACTGTGCAGATTCTCCAAATGGGTAATATGGTGAGATTGACCAATGACAAAAATTGCTGAAAACAGCTGAAAAAAGGGCATAATAAAGCTGAACTGTGAAAATCTCCTATGCTTTTATACACAGCCAGTGAGGGGTTAAAAGTGGAAATCCAAAACCAAAAAACTGAAATCAAAAATCTCACCCCTGCACAGAAAAACTTTGGCATGGGCTTTTCTGTTCAAATTGTGAACCAAGAATTTATTTACTGGAAACGGGTTGATGCTTGCTGATCACTGTGCATGTAAACCAGCAGAGTCTACAAAACAGACGACCTTTTTTGTATACAAACCAATGTAACATTGAGGCTTCTTTCTGAGATGACATCATAGTGCTGCTCATGAATATGGAAATACTTGTTAGCATAAAAAACAACTCCCTTTGATATAGTGAAACAAAAGTTGTAAATAAGGTTAACTGAGAAACAAAGGTGCATTTTGAAGGTCTGTATTAAAAGAAATTGATTGCCCCTACCTTTTTACTGCCTAACCCATGTGCTATTCTACACTGTATCAGTTTTCATAGGCCACTCCTTGAACCTGATGACTACATGTAGATTGGGTTAGTAATGACAGTTGGTTGGATACATGTCAATGTAAACATAAGGCATGCAATCACACACATGTAATATTTAGAACAGCAGCCTCTATCAAGTGTTGGTGTAAGCATTTTTCACCACAGTTTGCTACACTAAACAAGGATTCCCATCCTTTTATTTGCATTACTCAAACAACGCACATACCTTCACTATTTCTATTCCTCTGCGGAACAACTTGCTATTACTGAAATCAAAGCAATTATGAAATTTGGAATGAGTCAGAGTTAAAGAACAATTATATTTAATGAAATGCTATGAAACACAAGTGCTATTTTTCAGAAAAAAAAAAAAGAACGGTTCATTTATGGTGTATCTTTTGACGATAAAATGGCCATTCTTTGAGTGGAAATCATGAATGCATCTTATAGATGCCTACAATATGCTCACTAACCCTCTCAGTCTGGCAAACAGGACCACTATTCATAGAAACAAAATGGTCAAATGGAAAGCCCTCTGCCCGTGCCTTCAGAACAGATCCTTGCACAGGCAAGTACCGGTACCCGTTGCTTCATAGTATATACATGGAATTTACTGTGTCCTCCTGGCTTCACTAATTTATAACTAAAAGCCAAAGCTGTCCTTTCAGATTTCCCAACAGGTCATATCTCTGCTGACCACCTCAGCCTGTGGTGAGACTTTTTATGGACAATGCCCAGGATGAAAGGCCATTTACAACACACAGTGGGGATTACAGATGAGAAATTCAATAAACGTCATTCCGTTTGCTCTGTTAAACTTGATCATTGGTGTTTATCCCTTCTTCAACATGCAACACCCTCTTTGACTGTCGTAAAGGCCCCCGACACCCCCTTCTTCACCCACAGGGGACAACGACTGACCTGAGCTTGAGGTCCACCATCAGGTTGTGGTAGACTTTGCCCTTCTGGATGTGGGCGCCGGTGCTGATGGCATTCAGCAGCAACTTGCAGGACAGCTCGGAGGCAAATCGACGGGCGGCGTGGACGCCCAGCAGGTCAAACCATGACATCTTCTTGTCCTTCTCCTCCATGAAGCTCCGAATGTACTGGGTGGTGGGGATCCGGATGCGGACAACTTTGGGGAAGTACTGCGACAGGATATCCTGATGAGAGTCCAATTCAAATCGATTGTCCCATTGAATAGCTACATGAGATATGTTCTCCGATGAGCCAGTTTGACACTTCAAAAAGGTGAAGGTCACTTGAGATCAAAGCATATGACGTCAAACAAGCTCAAACACACTCACTGAGTCTGAGTAGGTAAACAATAAACTCCTCCTTTACTTGAGTCTCAGTAGGTGTCAGGTACCCTGATAGGGTAACCGACTTCTTGCACATGTTGATGTCTTTGTATAACCTCTGTGTCAGTTTGAGCATCCACTGTCTGATTTCTGAACTGGCATACTGATCCTTTGAAGATGGGAATTAATATTGAATTCAATACACACAAATGCATCAATCATTCAAATCTAGGAAACAGCATGCTCCAGGCAGATTATACAGGGTGTGAGACTTTACAGATGGTACAACTCTGGGAGTCAGAAAAGTGTAAGGGACTCCAAACAAGTTCAAATCTGTGATACTTTCCAAGAGGGATTATGAACAGGGGCAGAGTTCTTACCTCCTTGGTGTCATTGATGTCCCGGTAGCAGGCTAAGACCACCACCTGGCTGCATTTGCAGCACACCATCTGGGCCAACATCTTCATGCAGGCATCCAGCTCGCTGCCACTGGACGTCAAGAATATGACGAGGTCGCTGGGGCCCAGGGAGTGGTATACGGCACCTGAGAAGTGGCTGGCCCCGATCTCCAGTTTGCTGTCTTGCTGGGAGTGCTCATATGATTGCTGCATCTTGTCAATGATGGGAACGAGTTCTTGCACCGGGGGAAAAGACTGAAACAACCAAATGAAAAAAAGAGATAGCGATCTGATAAGAGGGTAGCACATCATGGTTCCTTGCGAGCCTTGCTCGCAAACAATACCAGATTGAGAAATAGGTTTGCGAGTACACTGTGGAATAAATCTCTGTTGGGTGAGGTGTGGTTCTCAGAAGAACCGGTGAGTGTTAATACCAGATTGCCCGCCAGCAAGTCACACCTGAAGAGGCGACTTGGATGAGTTGTGAAATGTCTTCCGTGAATATTCCTTCACATTAGTCCTGCTGACTGGTTTCATTATTGTACTGCGATCCACCCACCCCAAATGTTGCCACATGTGGTTGTAAAATCCACAGCTTATATTGCTTGGTTGGCTCAACACAGCATGACATTGTAGGACGGTAAATTCATATGAAAATACACAAGAAATTAAAGAAACTTTTATTTTTTTCTTAGCCTAATCTTGGTTTGGTGAGGAGGAAATCAGTAAAACAGTACAGTGTATGTCCGTCTCTTACTTTGATGACCAAATCGCCCTCTTTGTTTCCAAGAGTTGTGTAGCCTCCAAATACAAAGCCCCTGACATCACTAACCTCTGCAGGGGGAAACCAGTTGCACAAATGATTTAACATGACTAGCAACCAAACATCTTAACGTATCATCAGCACTGCTTAAGTGAGATTGAAACTTACCGAAGAAAAAAAAATCACGTATACAACTCTTACTTCATTGCATTAGTTCACAAAAAGATTTTAAACTTTCACAAAAGTGGCCCGACATTCCAAAACCGGGCTGAAGTAAGTAACTACATATCCCTGAGGGAGTGGAATTTCCTCAGTTCATTTTCATTAACTGTCACTCCCCGTAATTACTCAAGCTTTCTGTGGACAGAATTTAGACTTTTTAGATCACTTTTCAATATGAGAAAAAGTGGAAGGGGGGAGAGAAACTGGTTCACAAACGTAATTTGGAACCTGCCATGAAAGCCACAAAGCTACAAAGTGCTCCATTATATTAACTGTTGCACTAACGATGCCCGACCACTTCTTTCCCAACTCCATGCAGTAAAAGATGTAAGAAATTGGCTCTTCATCCAGTCTGATGCTTCAAATCTTTACCTCTATCCCACAGAAAGCAAATTTGAATTCTTGATACAATCTTTCCTTACAAGGCAAAGAACTTCAGTATTCCCTCCACCTCTAAAAATACCTACCCAACACAATTCTACACAATATTCTAATGAAGCAGACCATTTCTCCAGTAGTTAGGTGAAGTTTGCTTGAAACTCTTCCATGTAAACTGGTCCTGCTAAATACAACGATCCAATAAGCCCCACCCACTGTTCATGTGGATACTTAACCCCTTCACGGCTGTGGACTGCAAACGCCGCAGCACTGTGTGAAGATTAGTGCATACCACACATACAGTCTATTCACCATGCAGCTGCAGTTTCAATGTGGGCCTGCTGCTGGACAGAGCTTGGCATACTGAGCAAACCACAGCCCAGCAGTCGCAGTCAAAATAATACCGCTGTAAAGGGGTTAACACATGTTCTTCAGTGCCGCACTAACATGTTCCAGCCATGCACATCATATGCATGTGCACACATGTTCGACTTTTGTGCACACATGTCGGACGCACATCATGGCTGTAATTGGTTAGAGCACAATAGGGTGAGGTTTCATGGATTGATCTATGACTTTTCAAATGCCTTCATCAGACAATTCTCATGATTGATGGTTTTAGAGTCAACACACCTGCACCAAAGGTGGGCGGGCATTCTGATGCATCAACTAGTCCAAGGAGGCCAGTGTCGTCGATGCCAAGATAGTATACATGCCCGCCTGCATTCAAACTGAAAAAGAGAGATTAGTGCATTACAACGGAGATGTAAAATAATCAGGGGTTTAGATAACATGCGTATTGGTGTATATGCTTCCCAACTTGGGAACTGAGTCAGAATACACAGCATAAAACCTCATGAAGAATGTAAAAAAACACAGTGATTTCTACTATACAGGGTGTTTTTAAAAAAGGAAACCAAGATTAATTTCTTCATTTTTTGGATATGACAAAATATTTTGGAAATTGGCAACCACCATTTATTAACTAATGATGTCCTCTTTCTGATGACACCAAGAAACCCAATTGACTGTCACAAATGACTGTACACGAAGCAGTTCAATCAACCATGTCAGAACTGGTCTTGCACCAGATTCACCGCAGCCTAACTCCAACAAATTTTCATACCTAAAAAAAAGAAGAAAGACCATTGTGTCCTTGAACAAAGTTTTTATTCAGTGATTTAACATTTAGGTGCTTAATTATGTCTGCCTCAACCTAACCCCATTGTCCTTCGACATGTCCCCCATTCGTTGACACATGATTCGGCTCTGGTTCTCATCGCTCTCAATGCATTAGTGATTACATCTCTCCGTCCTCTTGAGGTCTCAAATGCAGCGACAATTCTTGCACGTAGGTCATTGATATCTTGGGGTGGCGACTTATAAACTTGGTTCTTAGGATGTCCCCACAAAAAGAAAAATCACAGGGGGTAAGGTCAGAGGACCTTGGTGGCCACTCAATCTTATGGTTGATCGCAATCACTCTCGTGTTGAACAACTCTTGTAGCCTTTCCCTCACGATGATCTGACGATGAGCTGGAACTCCATCCTGGGCCCATCACAACCGTGGTGTTCAAAGTGTTGCTGTAACTACAGCACAATTTCATCATTGATAATCTCAAGGTAAATTACCTTCACCATTGAGATTGCAATCAAAGAAACAGGGTCCAATGACGGTGCCATATCCACAGAGACCTATCCAGAGAGATATCTTCTCTTGGCTCATTTTCACATCAAAATTGAAGTTGGGTGGAGTATGCATAGGGGCGTATTCGTGGACAATCTGGTTATCTATTTGGCCATTCCTGAAAAATGCTGCTTCATCCCCAATCACAAGGTGCTCCAAGAATCTGGGATGCCGGTCAAGGAACCACTGGCAAAATCTTAGTTGTCTGGGTAGATCTGCATCAAGGAGTTTGTGTCACCTGTGCATCTTGTAAGGGCACCACTGGATGTCCAATCAAACAATCTTGTGGAAAGAGGATGGTAAAATTCCCTGCCCATTTCTCCTGGCAGACACATGCAGATCTCTTTGTAGCAACTCACAGACAGCCCTGATGTTCGCATCTGATGTTGCCGTTCTTTGTCGGCCTGAGCGACCCTTGTTGAACTTCAAGCTTGTCCCCTCCCTTTGGTACTTTTGGATGTTTCTCCAAATTGCTGACTTGGCGGGAATGGTATGGTCAGGAAAACGCTGACCAAATGCAACTGCTACTTGCTGGAGGCGTCCAGTCCTCAACCACTCCATTCCCACAAGCACAAGCTGCTCAGTTGCAAGCTGTATTTTGCTAGTCTGAGAAAACAAACATCCTTCCCAACTTGTATGGAGTGTGCAATGAAAGAACATGCTGAGGACTGAGTAATTTGGAGGCCCAACAAAAGGCTTGCACTGAGCAGAGAGGGTTCTTTACAAAAATATCTATCTGGTACAAGAACAGTTCTGACATGATTGATATAACTGCTTCGTGCTCAGTCATTTGTGACAGTAAATTGGATTTCTTGGTGTCATCAGAAAGAGGACATCATTAGTAAATAAAAAGTGGATGCTGATTTCCAAAATATTTAGCCATGTCCAAGAAGTGAAGAAATCAATCTCAGTTTCCTTTTTTTAAACACACTGTAGAAAGAGTAGCATGAGTTTCTGCATTTTCATGTTTCGTCAATTATGCCCTGCCCAACAGAGTAACATTCCAAGTGGATGCTGCTGAAACCGATTTGTTCATGTTCGTATGTATACAGCTTTTCAGAAAATCCAGAATCGACGGGAAAGACCAAAAGCGAAGCATGTTAGGTGTGTTTAGGAATGCCGTAGTAGACTGAAATGGGCTACTGGGCATGCATTGTGTGCATGGATCATTTGTGTGTACAAAAACGTGGTCACCAGACTCCCAAAGACACAATGCAGTAAAATTGATTTCTAACCCAAGGGGACCACACTACTTTCATCAATTTTTGCACAAATGAATAGGGTTTGAGGTGCCTGAACTCCTCATCAAAAGTTCTGCCAAAAAACGTGAAGTTTTCTGCAAGTTTCCATCCACTACAAATGGGTATTTTACAAGTGGCATTTTAGAGGCTTTCCAGTACATCTACAAGAAACTACAAGAAAATTTGGGTCTGAAACACCTTAGAACGATTGAGGTTTAGATCGTGAGTGTGAGCGCATTCTGCCGCAAGGATTAACTCACATAATATGGGTACTCAGTTCCTCCACCTCTTAGGGAGTACAGTACTCTCCCTCTCAGGAAGAAGAAGAGTACATTACCAAACAATACTCAGGGCAAAAGAGTACTGTTCTCTACTCCTCTTAGCAAGGAAGTGGGTATTGTACTCATGGCTTGAAGAAATTGTGACTTGTCACCACAAAATGAGCTGAAAATTGGAACTTTCAAAAATTGAGATATTGGTATTTTTGAATCAGCGAAGAGCGAGCTTTCAATGGTACATGTATGTACATGGAACATGTACATAGGGTAAAAGTATGAGGTGACAACATGGCATTATTCTGGCAGTTCTGCATTTTTATTTCTGACATTGTTCAACTATTCTGACCAGGCATGAATAATGCTATCATCAAAATTGCTGAGAAAATGACATTTTTAAATATCTGATCCTGCTGACAAAATTGGAATTAAGCAGAGGGGTTACTCTTTCAAAATATTACAGAATGCCAAAATTGACCCCCACCTCAATATTTGACTTTGAAACCTCAAAACAGGAAAGAGCAGAATTTGACTTTACGCTCATTTTGTCGTGCCAAGTCTCAATTATCTAAACCCTGAATAATCATGCATGAATGTAGCATGTGCAAAATAAGCTTTCCAGTATGGCATATGGCAAGTTCTTGTGATCAACACAAATGCAAGCTTTTGTTGACACTGGTGACATTTCCGATGACAACAAGAAGATAAATGATACACATGTATGACAGGCAGGATAGTGAACTGCAAGATATGTCCACCCATTTATTTCATGCCTTTCTGGGAGAGTTACTGAACTCTAAATGGGCTGGGGGTGACAATCTCTAAATGAGCTGGGGGTGACAGAATCTCCAACCCCCATTAATTACTTTTCCAATGTTCCAACAAATTTGTTTTTCCCATGGGGCATGTAGAAACTTCTAAAAAAAATACCTAACAGCCATTTGAAAACCAATTCTATGAAAATTGCATCGATCATTCCTGCATTCATACCAGATGGGTTGGCCAAAAATGTTAAGTTTTCATAACTAGCATGTGTTCAACCCACAAGAACTGAAGGACATGAGGGAGTGAAGTATACATGGTTCTAATAAAAAAATTTCAGGGGTGGGGGGAGGCAGAGGAAGGAATGAGATGCGACAGTTACCTGCCCCCGGCCCAGTCAATCACCTTGTGCAGCCCCTCTGACAGCGCCTGTGGGTATGTGTCTTTGCACACCTCCTCATACATGCGCAGGAGGTGGGTGCAACGGATGGCCCCGTCGGCTGACAAGGCTTGCTGGGCGCCCTCGTCGGCCACGTCCTCAGGTTCCAACGTGGAGGTGAGCTGGCGAAGGGCATTCAGCATGATGATTTCCAATAGGAATTTGGTGGCTGTCCCACCCTTCATGCGGGACGAACCCGTGATGGCTTCCGGCTGTCAATGGAGAACAATAACACCACAACAACCTTTTTATTCCTTAGAATTGGAAAATGGAGAGAATTCAGAACTACAAGTTCAACTGAGGGTTCGAAGAAATCCAACTAACTTTTCAAACACCTATTATTACCCTCAATGGATTTTGCTTTGTTCTACAATTCGGTTTGTGACCAACACACCTTTGCATGCTTAGAACAGTACCATGTTTTACCATTCTGCACGAGATGCGCGAAAAAGACTTTTACAAACAACTATTTTGTAGGCCAGTGTCCTTTTCCTTACCCTGGCAGATAACAAACACTTGTAATCAAATAGTAGCAATAAACACTGGCCTTGTGGTACTTGTACATACAGAACCGCCATGATATCTTTCCTTTCAAATAAATATACACTAAAGATGTGCAGGCCAGTGAAAGTGCACAGAGGCAAACAGGTAACCTTGCTCTTCTACGGGAAAATTTGGATCCCTCGGATCTTTTCCTCATCTGGGGGGGGGGTCCCATAATGGCAAATCTGATGTGCCCTAAATACTGTGGTTTCAGTTCATTATGTGGGTGTGGACACTCTACTTTTAGAGTACAGTGCTATAGTTTCAGAGAATGTCAGTGAAACGCAGAGATGTAGCCAAAGAATATCAAAGCAAGGGACTTAACCCTAAAAGGGAGGGGGGGTTGGAATCCACCCCCTCAACACTTTCTCCAGTATCATCACAGTCCATTTCTTTCATGTGCCAAGCCTTCAGAATTTTTTTTCCAGTCGTCTTGCGGTCCTTTTGACACCAAGTTTGTGAAATTGGATATGAAGTTCTTGCGCAACATCCATTTTGCCGAGACGTGGGCCAAAAATGTAGAGTTTTTTTCCACTGGTGTGGGCCAACACGGGTGAGGCCATGAACCTTGAGTAACTACTCCACCAAACCTTATGTAGGATTGAGTTTATAATTTTGAAGTTGAAATAACGACTTCTTTTACAGGCAAAAGACTGAGCATGGGACAGCCAAAATCTTGGAAGGACGGGGCTGAATCTACCCTCGCCCACTGTGAAACAATCTGAAAAAGCACAGCTGTTTTGGGGTTAAAACAGAAACAATGAATATCAGCTGTTGGAGGTTCTGAATTACAGCGCATCATGCCAAACATTTCTGATCAGCTTACCCCCAGAATAGGGTTGATGATGAAACCTTTCCCTGCATGCTGAGCATCTACCAACTTCTCAACAACTACCAATCAAACAAAATAAGATAAAAAGAAAACAAATGAAATATTGATAACCAAGATGGACCTCACAGTGAAACAGGAAATTTAGCCACAGATTCCTTGTAGGGAAGAACAAATGAATGGTGGATGTAGGGCAGTCACATGCAGAGTGGCAAGGACATAGCGCAGAATAACAAAAAGGAAACAAACATCGCACACAAAAGCAAGGGATATGGTTTTCTTGCAATAGGATGTGTAGCAAGCATCTCGCTTTCCTGCAAGGCTCACATACCCCATAAAATGCCGAGTCCACCACTCCGAGACAATTCAAATGAGTTTACTTGGGAGTGACTTGAACCAGCCTCTCTTTTGGACAGACCTGACAATACACAGAGCTGAGATGACGTGGGGGAGGAAAGAACATTTCAAACCCCTGATTTCTTCAGTAAGTTTAGGCAACAACAATTTCATACAGCCAAATCACGAGCCCTACTCTCCAAGAATTTTTGCCGAGACCTTGTTTGAAACCTACAATCTTCTACTGTGCAGGAAACTGATGGCACCATCTTCATACCCACACTTTTAAGTAGTGCAGAGTACCATTCAAAATCTTCTCGTGGATTTCAAAAGAATCAGGGACGGCCAGGATTAATGCTCCGTCTGAGGAGGATGGACTGACCTGAGAGAAATGTCTCACTCCAGCCCTCTATGGCTTGAGTCCTGGCCTGTTCAACAGGGTTAAAACCGAGGAGAACCGGGGTGAACACGTCAAGATGCTCCATGCAGTAGAGCAGCTGACCGGCCACAAATGGTGCCTGGGAAAAATGAAAAAAAAAAAAAAAGACAAAGAGAAGCAGAGGTAAATGACAGCTTCCTTTTGAAAGTCTCAACTGCTGGTGCAAGTAACAAGGTCATCCGCTTAAGCTGCTTAGCTGTTGGCTGCATACAACATTTGGATGCAGGCTCGGTATGCTCACAAGAGAGATGTAACGACTAACTGTAGACCCCACTACTCAAAGTTACGATATTCAACAAGTGAACAATTTCTTTAGGCTGCAATCAAAACAGCTGATAAACCTGTTCATGCATTTAACTTCACAACGCTCTTTGAAATGACCAACCTTCTCTGCAAAGAATGTACTTAATTCTTCCTTAATTGTTGTATTCACTGTTTTGATTGCTGTATAATAAACCAGTTTCTCTCTCTTTTTAATACTTTATGCTAGCAAAAGGGTGGGTATTTTATACGTTAATGGGTAAACTAACAAGTGACTTAACTTCATATATGTTCTAAATGGTATGTTCAGTGTAATACAGGTAGAATAATGCAGATCTCCACATTTTTATTACAAACTCTAGAATGTAAAGAAGTTACAAATGCTGAGGATCATTGGGATGTCTACTTACTGAGAGACCACATGATATGCCAATATATACAACTCTTTTCTTCTTTTTGCATACCTGAATGAAAACAAAGAATGGTGAAGTCAAGGGTGACGCATCTTCGTATGGAATACCATTTAGTTTACACATTTTTATGGGATGGAAGAAAAATACAGAGTCTTGATAGTTAACTATGAATTCCAGGTGTGAATGAGAGATACTTGCTACTAATTCACTGGCCATATTTCTACTGTCACAGTGCCGGAGTGGGCACTGTGACAATCTCGTCTTTACATGCTGCATGTACTAATATTTCAGATCAAACTGTTGTTACTACAGCTAGTGTTGTTGGCCCAACTTTGAAGCATATATTTTTAGTGAACCTCACTCATGTTATGAGAATCTTGGGATAAGAAATGAAGTGAAAGACAGAGAGTATTCAGACTTGCATGTTAACAGATTTTATTCAATGTAAAAAGGGGTCCTCCATTTTATCACCCTTTCGTGAGTGTAAAAACAAGTGTCAAGGAGAGGTGTAAGTAAACATTTTGTATAAACTATTCAAAAATTGTCAAACTTGTTGATTGAATATCACTGTTTTCTTGGTAAGCCGTTCAGGGGGTTGGGATGTTTACAAAAAGGATGGCATAAAGAATCACGTTTCTGGAAAAGGAAAAATAGTTAATGAGTGGTTTTGTAAATTAAGGATACAAATCCTTTAAGTTGATTTCAATGAATATGGACACCACAGAATTGGTGTTAAGCATACTTTATACAGAATTTCTTCTTTTTTCTGCAGTGGCAAAATTCTGATTATTTGTGTAATTCGATTCGCTGAAGTAATGTTTGACCTACTTCCGAAGGACGTCGGACAGCAGTATAATTTTCTAGCCCAAGTAACTTTTTGCATGGTACACAGAAATCGGTCTGTTGATTTCTGGATAATTGCAGAAATGACATCTGTAAACATTAAGATTTCTTCAACTGAATCATGTTATTCTTTGAATTGATACCATGACAGACCACAGTGAAGAGGTTTGAAAACTTGTACACTATTCATGGATACTGCCTTGTGTTTATGAGGTATTAGCGTTTCCTCTGCAGATGTATAAATAACGACACCATTTCCCCGAGTTGAGGACAGGAAATGTCACCATATGTTTCCGTTTTCCAAATGCATCAAAACTGTCATGAAGATGCCTATGGTGTCCATGGATGATGCTTCTCAGTCTTTGTTTAAGGGTGTTGCTGAGGTGTCAAAGCCAACATATACAGCCAAATGCCTTGAATGTGAACCAAGAAACCAAGATCTAGGATACTGCCTGACTGTATTTCAGGATAAGAAATTCCCGATATTTACCCCAATGCACAAATAATAATTGTGCATTGGGAATCAACATCTTGAACAACAAACCACTCCCACTTTTGTCAGACAAGTGATTATCACTGGTCTGACAAAAGTGGGAGTGGCTTGTCGTCTTGACCAACCTCTGCCTGATCTGCCCATGCGTGTGAATAGTAAACACTTCCACTGAAAAAATGACCCAAACTGTCAATTTCAAAAAAGGTTCAAAAGTCTGAGATACAGATATCTGGAGAAGGCATCACAGCTCTGACCAAAAACCAAGAAGAGGGTGAACCCTGGATTGTCCCAACCTCAAAAATATAAAGTTGTTGCCAAGTCAAAGACAGAGATCGCTGAGACTGCCCATGCTACCTACCTGCTGCAGTGCTTTCACCCCAGCCTGTGGGGAGTCCTCGGGGGCCTCCTGTGAAGTCAGCAGTGCCTTGTCATCTCCAGCGATGATGTACTCACAGCATGGCTTGAAATCTATGTTTGTCAGCAGGTTGTTAAAGGATCTCTGAAACACATAACCACACAAATTATTGAGGCGCTAGTTTCTCTGTTAACCTGTGAAGAAACCCTGCAGTACTTCACAGACCAAACAAGATGCCCACTTTGAAATTAATTGGACCAAGTAATCGATACATGTACATGTATTGGTACTTACAGCAGTTAAAAAACCAATCCTGCCCGAGGTTCCACATCCACTGAAGACAACACTCTCACAGGCTGGACTTTTCTTCTGATAAAGAAAAAACTCATGAGTTAATATCAGAACAAACATGCACGACTGAGCACCTGATGCTTCAACTGGCAGTGAACTTAGAAATCCCACCTCCCATGACAAACAAAAGTTCCCAGCTGTAACAGTATTTTACAGTATTTTTAGAACTATAATGGTTCTCACGGGGGAAACAAACAGGGAAATGAGCTCATAAACACAAGGAAAAGTGGAATGGCTGTGAGATGAACGTGCAATATCACGGGGGGAAACACCAAGCCTAAACAAATGTGCCAAATACACATCACTGCACATGTATATTTACCTTCAAGATGTCAAAAACCCTCTCCGAGACCTTCTGCAAATTAAAGATGAGCTGCTCGCTGAAGATGTTATTGCTCTTGTATGGGTCCCAGCCCTCAAAGATTTGACTGTCACAGCGATGGAGGAGGTTGACTAACTCTGCCAAAACCAATGACAAACGTGTAAGAACAAGAAAGGCATGTCCTGAATGGGCTTCCAGAGCTTAGCATAGGGGTCTCTTTGTTTCACGTGGATCTTGATTTAGTGATCCCAAAGCTGGTTCACTCTATCCATTTTGGCAGGCTCCAGTGTCAGTGAACCAACGATGGATCACTGATCAAGATTCAGATCCATGTGAAACAAACAGGCCCTAGGCCTATTGCAATTTCTAAAAAGGGGACATGGCCAGCATCCACATTTAGAGAGCATGGTTTTGTATGCATTCAGATGAAAATTGGTATGGGTACTCTGCACCATACTTGGACTTTTACAAACCACTGAGCTGTTAGAGAAAAATTGAGATTGTTACCTTATCGGAGACGTCTTTTGCTAAAAGGGGTCCTCGAACATTTGTGTGTTATCTCAAGGAATAAAGGAGACCACACTTGCAGGAGCACAGGCACGATCACATCTCAGTACAGAAAATGCACTTACCATATGAAGTACTGATATCAATGTCAACTGTGAGCGGATTGCTTGTTTCTGTTACTGGAATCTTTGCCGCCAAGTCGGACATTGTTTCCCCAGTATCACAGTCATAAAGAAGATGGCATCCCTGGAAAAGGTTAACAAAGAAGAGTAAAGAACACAAAAAAGGACAACGCAGTAGTGGCAGGTCACTCTCACAGAAATCTTCAATTCTTTCAAGAAATCTGTGAATTTCAAAATCTTGTTGTTTAGGCCTACATGGAAAACAAGACTACCCAAGAAATACATATACATGTAGGCCAAACTATTTATTCCTGCATGCTAACTTGGACATTTAAAGCAATGTTAAATTGACCTACTTTGTACATGTATGTATGTAATACTGACAAAAATGTCTAAACATAGAGACGAAAGAGGATAAAACATACATGTACAGGTGGACACGGCGGAAGAAGCAATTTCAAACCACATTCAGGAAGATTTTATACATTACCTTTATAACAAGCCTGAATCTCACTAGATGTTTTGTCTGTCTGAGGCCCTAATTGGAGTTCTTAACTGAGACTTAAATTTACAGGAGTCTGTGGTAGTGCCTACAGCCTCTTCCGATAACGTCTTGTGTTATGCTGTCATGTGTAATTTCAGGCCACAGCCTAACTTCAGCATCACCCAATAAATGTGGACTTTTCAGAGCCATCTGTACATTTCCCATTCTAACAGATTATTTTTGATATCATGTGAAACCCACACAGTTCAGGTGATATCTAAAAAAACCAGTACTCACATGTATTTAACCCCCATACCAGATATGGTCTATGTGCACACATATCATAAAAGAATTTGATGATTGATATCCACACACTCAATTGTTATTCTGGCACAAAGTTCATTACATGTAAGCCTTTTTCAAGTACTTGGCCAAAGTCATGCTAGCCTGGTAGAATTATGTGTAGCTCTTTGATGACTGTTGATAATATTTCCTCCAACCCAGTACGATAGATACAGAAAGATATTAGAACCTTGATTCACCTGTTCACATCTACATGTATGGGGACACTACTGAGACAGCCAGTGCAAAATGTGATGACAAATTACAAAGACTGCTCCATAATCTTATTTGAGCATAACTTACAGTCCATTCTCTGTGCATGAAACTGTTAGAAATTACCCTTGAATATGACCAGAAGAAACCACTGCACGTACATGTACATGAACATTTGTCTGGCCATGATTAAAATGACTCAAATTATGTAAATAGTATAAGTAAAATAATAACTTTGTTTTTTTTTTATTCTACCAACTCCAAATGAGAAAATTCTCTGCTCACTTATTTTTTTAATAACCATGACAAATGCAGCATTAAATGTGACTAACACAGAACTCATAGAGTTAAGGTTAAACAACATGTATAACCCTGTTACTGTAGATAGGATTATACCTAAAGTAGGTCCAGGGGCAAAAACTAGTCTTGAAACACTTGAGGAAATCAAACTGGGGTAAAATTCTGTCTTCTTTTGGAAAAGAAGGGCCTCCTCCCTTTTTTAAAATGCCTGAATATGGAATTTTTCACTTGGCTTCTCTTCATAATTGAGAGCCTGCATCTGCTGTTTTCTTTGCTGTTTTAATGTTTGGACAGTTTACTGAGTCGCCCGTTAAGATAACTTGCCTAAATAACATGATTGAGGCATGTCAGGCTATGCATTAGGCATAAGTAGACCCATAAACAGGGCCCTAAGTAGACTCCATCATTGATACTGGGCCCTGTCTGGATTCATAGGGATTTCTTTCGACTCGGCGTTCGATTGGGTTAAAATTTATCCGGAGACATCCACTGCAGTTTGTAAGCTAAAATTGCACTGGTATGTTCACTACTTTTAATGCTAACTATGCCCAGGTTGCTACATGTATTTGCAGGAAACCTGATTTTCTGACCTCTCGTTTTGAGGAAAAATGTTGCCTCCCTAAGCTTGGAGTTGGACATGTTCCCAACTTCAGACGATTAATGTTGGCCCGATTTGCACTTTACACAGACTCCTTTGTATGGTTACATAACGGTAGCTTGTACAGTAAGCCTGTCTGGTAGTTTACACCTAGACTTCAGCACGTACAATGTACATATGTAAGAATCTCATACAGATCCGCAAGAGTACATGCCGGTCCAAGTTGGACTGGTCCCCGTTCCTAATATACAGAGACCGGTATTTAGCTGGCTTCTGGGATCCACGGTTAGTTTAACTCTGCGCATGCGCAATGGCTTTTTCTATTTATAGAGATGATGTTTACATACATTGTACTGTACCACCTTCACTAGTGCACGTGACAGCCAAACACATGTCTCTCTGGAAAACTTTAGAAAAGTTTTTTCCCAATAACTATGGAAGTGTTTACCTCTAAAGAGCAGGTAAATACATCTGAAAGTTGTGTTGCGTGCTGAAAATGAAATGACTCTGTAGAGAGCGAGTTATCCATTCTAGAAAGTCTTCCAAAGTTTTGTCATGTAACAGTGTTGTGTCATGGTGGGAATTGTTAGGGCTTATATGCTAAATTTCCTCATTAACATAAAACTGGCAGGATTCTTCCGCAATATGTACCTGCTGCCAGTCCCTACATTCGGAGGATGTATGTAAAATGTCTGGAGACTATGTATGGGACAGGAACTAACCTAGGACCAAGTATTTGTGAAGAAAGTGACAGCTGTTTCGTGTCACAGCTACATGTAATGCAACACCGCTCTCAACTTGTTGAGTTCCTTGTCCAGTTACACATGTGCAAATACTGCTTTTGGCGAATCGTTGCTGAACATGCAGAACGGCCTTGCTCTCTGTGACACGAAACAGCCGTCAGTTTTGTGCAAGTCAGACCGAAATTCACCTGGAATAGGGAAAACTTCCAACTCCAAGCTTAAGGAGGCAACCATTTTTCCTCAGAACGAGGGAAGGCAAGTTTCTTGCAAACAGCAACCTGGAGATAGCCATAGTACTGTAAGTAGTGAACATACTGGCACAATTTCAGCTCATAAACTTAAGCGCAGTGGATGTCTCTGGATAATTTAACCCAATTGAAAGCCGAGTCGAAAGAAATCCTTATGAATCCAGAGCATGCAGACAGGGCCAAGTATCGATATCTTACGGGTAGGTCTGAGGCATAAGTAACGTTTGGGGACTAGGCCTACTCATTAGATCTTCAGTCACAGCTGCCGTTTTGACACATCATTATATTACCTTGACCAGGTCAGAGGTTGTTCCATTTATTGCACTCGCGGCTGGGCAAAGGGACAACCCCCCATTCACTTTGTACAGGGATTTGTTATGTTTTCATTTTCTGCTGCATTTTTTAATGATAAAAATAGGAACTGAAACCTTTTTGGTACAGTGTGGGCTGTGTGGCAAATATTCACAGAGCATAAACAATGAAATGTTGGGCATTACTGAAAGGTTGAGAGTTTAGATAACAATTTAGATTTTCCACAGAGACCACAGGCTCAACCCTGTTTTTGCCCCTTTGAGTGTCGAGTGTGAAATATGGAAATTTCTAGCCACCAATTGACCAATCAGAGAGAAGAATCAAGATTCCGTCATCCCCACCGCGAGAATTATCCCACTATAGTAAATGTAGGCCTAATTAATGTACGTAACTAACACTCTTTTTACAAATCAACTTACAGTTGGTAGATTTTGGACCAAACCGATAATGGATGGCACATCACATGATAAAGCTCAGTCTACACCGTGACAGTTGTTTCACACGGTTGCTTATAAAATGCGTAAACTACTAGCGTTTCCTTTTCCTACAACTAGCCTACATTACAACTTACAAGCATGGTAGGCCCGCTATCGCTAGCATGCAATGCTGCAGCGTCATCGTCGTACATTTCGTATGGCGCCATCTGTTGGTCGTGTGCTCGAAACCAAAGATCGATCGCACGGCCTGCGCTGGCGCCGCGCCGCGATGCGATCGCTCGAAATTGATCACAGCTAGCCGCGCCATCGCCAGTTCATTCGTACAGAAACGTATCACCGCCACTCAAACAAAAATTTGTCCGTATATGTACGTGCATGATAACAAGAAACTTTCACGTACGTACATAATCGTTTTAGTTTCACGTAGGCACTTGAAAACTGTCACGTATGTACGCGAAAATTTTTAGAATCACGTCCGTACATAAGTGCAAAAATACTTTTATGCCTGTATGTGGCGGTAAAGTTTCCATACATTCAAGAGCAATTTGCTCGGCAATGTCATGCGTCAAGGGGCGGATCCAGAAATTTGTTCGGGGGGGGTTCGGCCGAAGATTTTTCTAATGCTCATTTTTGGGGGAGACAAGCAGAACTATAATGTAACATTACATGCCCCCTTTTAGTGTTTCAGGGCTGGAGTGGAGGGTTTCGAACCCCCCGGCCATCCCCCGGAACCGCTCCTGGCATCCTTATCGGTCTACTCGACAATGAACTTTGGACTGCTACCTTGGGAAAACATTTCAGTTTTGTTGGTGCTTAGGTCCACAAACTCTCACTTTTAGGTAGTCACTACTTACCTGTCACAAAGGCAAGGCCGGCTAAATAAAAAAGTATTAGATAATACGTATCCACAGCTAGGTCTGAGTCCACGAGGCAAAGTGGGAATCTGAATTGATTGTCCATCTTTATGAACGAACTTCCGTTGATCCCTCTGGAATGTGCCTGCCCCATTTAAAGTAAAAAGTTTGCCGAGGCATATTCCATTCTCTTATTTTGGAGTTGCTCTTTGCCCCCGAGAGAATACCATCGATTTTGCACATCGTCATAAAAAAGCATAATGTTATTCATTTTCCTTCGTCATGCCTAGGGTTTAGTCTAGTCGAGTTTATTTCAAGTTTACTCAGTGTTCATACTGGTTAACAGCAACCGCTTCTCTCGTGAAAGAAGAAAACATCAACGTTGCTTTGTCTTTAATATTTCAAAATTCTGTTTGAACAAACTTCTAGATACACTGCACGATCTGAGTCAACTTGTCCTTGTTTACTGGTTTTCGAACAAAAAGTACGACATCAAATTAATAGGACTCTTGTGGGTGCATGGTGATTTCTTAGAAAGTGTATGTTATGGGACAGGTACACAGGTAAAAAGGACGATGTCAATTTTAGACGTGAACTGAGCACAGACTATGGAAATTTAACTCCCGTGCACTGTCGCTTTAATTAAACTGCACGCGTTAGGCCCCTATAACAGCTCAAACGATCTAAACCTCTTGGCACGTGGTGAAATAATTGCAATGACACTTACCAAGCAAAACATTGTGTTGAAATGATTCATTTTCTTCTCTGCACCCCGCGATTATCATCAAGAATGATATGATTCGCTTACGTAACTCCCTTGTTTTACCATTTTTGACAGTAGGCCAATAGAATCGGTCCTTATATTTTGACTTGTCAACCTCTCGCACACACCCAATAAGGGCAGGTCATTGGCAGAGTACAACCGGAGGTCGTATGCATCCGCATGATGACATCATGCTAAAACATTTGAAATGTTACCACGCATTGTGGGCTTATTATGCACAACAGATTTAAATTCACCCAGACATTACACAGAAATGTTTTCTTTTGTCACTACTATTCAATTACATGAGATTGACGAGGTTTCTGGTACTACATGTTGGAATTATTTTCTTATGACTCACGCTGTCATTTTGATGTAGTCCGGCGTAATGCGGCCGGTTATGAACCCGATCATCACAACTCGGCCATTCCTCGTTACTTCCTTGTTTTTCGAGTACCAAAAGGGTTCTCATATTTTCACCGGAAACGTCAACTTTACTGGCCACTGTGTACTGGTACATGTTTCTGCAGAAGGAAAGTGTGTGATAATTCCTCATCATGGGGAATTGCTGTGACGGACCATCGAAGGAAAGGAAATACAACCCCCAGGCTGGCGTGCAAACAAACATCGCCTTGCAGCAGCAACAACAGGCACAAGTCCCCAACTCCGCTCACAACCACCAGCCTCAGCAGCATAGAATACACACCGATGCTTTGCCCCGTCAGCCCGCCGGCCCATCCACAGCGGTTGCCCCCGGCTTCAAACTGTATGTCGCCTTGTTTGACTACGATGCCAGAACCAACGAGGACTTGAGTTTCAGGAAAGGGGAAGAACTTGAAGTGCAGAATGACAATGGGGACTGGTGGCTAGCCCGATCAAGAACCACGAAGAAGGAGGGATACATTCCTTGTAATTATGTAGCCAAAGTGCAATCACTGGAATCAGAACCGTAAGTATGTGGCGTACACGATCATAACAACCTGCCAAATTAAGGTTATCACGTATATTAATTATCACCATTTTTGTTAACAAGGTAAATATCCTGGAGCTGTCTTACCCTAAATTTGCACATACAAATCTTCGTGCATTCAACTCTCTCATCGTTTGAATCTTGAATGAAATTATGCACTGACGTTCATTTACTGTCAATGATCCATTGATAGTCACTTTTTCTTTTTTCAGTTATGTGTGGATTAGACGCTTTCCCAGGGAAAATTTGGGAAAGATGAACTGGTTGAAATAGTCTAGAAAATGGATAAAATGATCACTGTTTGCTCATCAGTGTTACTGATGTCCAGTTCAGGCACTACATGTAGTGACGACTTCAATCAACTTCCGCCAAATATGTTCAGGGCGGTATAAAAATTACGGAGCCTGAAAAAGAATTGCGCACCTTATATTTTAAGATTTCCGTTGCAAATGAGGGGCGGGGATAGGGTGGCACTGTATTTGGGGACTTTTTTCAGAAATACACATACTCCTGTAGAAAGACGTTTTGTCACAATATCCAGATCTGCTACTCACATTAATGCTAATTATGATTTTTTGAAGGAACAAAAATTCATGCCACGCTGTAACTTGAAGTCAAATTGAAAAAAATTAAAAACTAGAACAAAAAAAGAGAAGTGATGGGAAGGCAGGCTATGGTGAATGTAAATGTTTTTTCCTCAAGCTACATCACCAAACCAAAATAATTAATGCAAACAATAATTCTTCATTCAAGAGATATTAACTGGCAGATTTTTCAGAAGAAGGGCATTACCGATACCCCATAAAATGATGTTTGCAACGTGCATGTATGTGTGTGAATTGTGGTGATGTAAGTTTTACTACAGCCAATCCAACTCGTTTGCAGACGACATTGTTCCTGTTTGCTTTGGTGACATCCTATGTTCTTCATAACATTATTCCATGTAGTATTCAGTCAAACTTTCAACTAGTGAGAACGAAGCTATAAAAATTTTGTTTATTTAAGAACGAATTTTGGTTGAAGTACTAAGTGCGCGAATTGTGGTGACTCGTGGATATTTATATACCCCTCAAAGACTGCAGGAATAATTGGGTTAATCATGCCCACTGCTTCTCCGTGAGTTTCAGAGAGCATGGAGAGGCGAAGTGTATAATGAACCCCATTCATCGGGTCATATCATTCACGTCATTTAGCATCAACAAAATGTGAAAAAATACAAGCATGTTTCTCGTGGAAGTAGTGTATTGGCAATATTAATTAGGCTTTTAAATATCATATTCAGTTGGGCCTACGTCCGTGTATATATATATACGTATATTAATTAACAGTTGTTGACCTTTTTTGATGCAGATCATGCCTCTTGGTGTATATGTCATCCTGATCATTGTCAACGTTGTTCCTAATGCAAAGACTGGCATGTCTGGTTTACGCATTGTTGGCATCGTTAGCACAGTCCAAATGTCTGTAACTGTAGTTGTCCGGTCTGTAATTTCGTTATTTACTGTGCAAACTAACCAGGCTTCACAACAAGGCCAAAATCAGGGACCTGGCTGCCGTGAAGCCATATATGATACATGTACCATGGTAGTACATGTAAATAGTGTAGTTGTGTTGGGTATGTTCTGGTATCCACAATTGTTTCATAAACACCAAGTTTAAAAAATGGATACCTTTTCTTTGGGGGATTCCAGTGACAAAGGGTGGTTCAGCACATAGAGGCAAATGGACTTCAGGTCAACAAGCATCAGTAAGCATGCATCACCAAACATGATCAGCCTCAACAAAGCGTCAACAACTTGAAAATCATGCTAAAGCATCAAAAGAAGTTTTATCATTCAAAAGAATCTCAAGCTGTGTAATTATCTAAGAAAAAAGGGGCAAATTCACATCCGGATTCACGCAGGGAAATGAAACATTTGATGAAGCACGAGACCACCATCTTTCTCTCAGTTGCATGCAAACATGATGGTGTGTCAAGTCAAGCCACATTTTTGTCCAAGTCGAGTTTTAGTAATGTACATTGTAAATGCACCTGTAAAAAAGATTTGTACTCTGCTTTACAGAAGAATCGCAAACAGTTTTCAGGTATGTTCACTCCCATGCCCTTGTGCACCACTTAGTTGAGAGTTAGCGCATGTGCACTCGATAAATTTACTGTGGATTTTGAGGCAGGCGGCGTCAGACATGGTTCTGACACTTCTTTCCTCGCAAACAATGAAGTTCACAGGTCTAACAGATAGCTCAAAATTGATCAGAAAACATTTAACCCCTGTATTGTAATGAACCCAGTTCTGAGTACCGGTTGTTTCAGTGTTACCGAGGAGATCAAGTTAAAACAAAACCAGTAGAAACAACTTCTGGTACATGTAGCACTCATAACTACTCAACTCAAAATAGAGATTTATTTCTATGATGTTACCACAGGCCTCAGTCTGATATTCATTTTGAAGTAGGAAGTGATATCCCTTATGTCAATGCCCAACTCTCTTGTGTTGAGCTACATGTAATATTCTAGGACTGCTATCATATTTTAATAAGTAATAGTTATAGTTTTTAGTCAAGTGTCGACACACACTGCATTAGTTGGGTTAATTTTGTGTCTGAAAACAAATTGAATTTTTAAAATGAACAGCAGACTTATCTTGGTGTACCAGGTATGTGTGTGCACGTACATTTCTCTGTAAATGGATACGTGTGTACATGTATGCACGTTTCCTTTACAAAAAATTCAAGGAATCTCATTGTATTTACACAGGAAACCAAACTGTTATCCACTTCACAATTGATTCATAAAGAAAATTATGGTTGGGCTGAGTCATGTGTAATGCAATTTGGTATGCCTTGCCTACATAAATGTGCATATATTTGACATACACTGATGTACATGTACTTGGTAGTTAGTGTAAACAATACATTTACATGTATGTAACCAGATCCTGTCTAAAAATGCATTAAGTATTCAGCATTAAGTTACCCCGAGGGCTGTCTGTGCTTAGGACACAGTCCAACATGTACCTGATCATGTTGACATCCTTTAGTGGCATACATGTACATATATACATGTAGCCTTGACAGGTGTTGTACATGTACATGTACATGAAGAAGGCATTGATACAACTAGCCATGGTTTTTGTTAAGGACCCTAAAAACCAAACATGTAGTGCATTGAGATTTATGAACTCAGTGGAATGTGTTTGACTGAGTCTATTGTCTGGATTGGTAACGTCTGAACAAATTGAATATGACCAACTGTTCAAAGGTGTAACCTTGTATTGCATGTTTTGCGTTTGCTGGATGCAGTGTGCACATTACCTTTCAAGTCTTGTGGGTGAAAAACCATTATTTACCTTTCACAAGAAATATTTTGTTTGTCACTTATTAGAATTCCTTGTAAAGGAATTGAAAGCATCCTCTTTGAAGACACTGTACATGCAGTTCAAATGACTTTTTAAGGAAGCGAATGTTTGACATTTATTGTACCGTATTTGTGCCAAGATAATCAATTACTCAGAAGCATGAAGATCATTTCTCTATGCTTATCAAGTGCACGGTTTCAATCATATCCCTCTCAATGTGGTCTTGAGTGGGGGATAAACATGACATGCATGTAAATGATTATGGAGAGTCTTTGTAGCCTCAGAATAGAAGATACATTGGTTAAACATATGTTCTAGATGCCTGGAAAGTGCTTACCATATCTTGTATGTCCTTGCCTTGCATACATGTTTGTGCTTGCTCTCCAAATTTGGTGCTACAATCTTGCCATTACATAAATCACATATGTAGGTGACATGCTCATGTGTACATGTATGTGAGTACACAAAACTACTGGCTACATGTAGTTCAACAGGAAGATATGATTGATATACTATTTTGTTATCACACAGCAGGTTTCCTTACCCAGTTGTATTGCTAATGTATCACACATACATGTGTATGCTAACTTTAATGCTCACTTCTTTAATGAAATTAAACCTGTTTACGTAGACACATGGATGTATGTGGAATATGTATTTACATGTACATGTAAATGGAACACATAATAACTTCCTTGCTCATCAGTACACACTATATTTGGTGAGGCCACACGTGAGCACAGTGACAAACGAAGACTGAGATAATGAATGAAATCTGTTTATTTCTGTGCATGTACATGTACACATCTTCGTGCAATCTAGTACCGTACATGTATCTTGTAGCTAAAGTTTTCTTTTGCCCTTTTTCAGATGGTATTTCCAAAATATAAAGCGAGTAGATGCAGAGAAGAAGTTACTGCTGCCACAGAACGAGCATGGATCTTTCCTGATCAGGGAGAGCGAAAGTAGGAGGGGAGACTTCTCCTTGTCACGTAAGAATGAAATTGTGTGTCTCAAGGCTCAATTACTTCCCCCAAATACTCCAAAATCCACCTTGCATTTATCGTGGAGGATCCTAAGACATTGAGGCTGGGTGGCAAATGTGTGGCAGATTTTGAAAGATGCATTGTGTCAGGGTTTTGGGACGGACCTTGTTTTGTTCATGCCGTGGGTCAAGTTAGGACCAGTGTGTGCTGGCGTGATGCTGCTGGATGTCATTCACACTGCCTCAACATGCTGACAGGAATCGGCAGAGGATTTTGGAAGGATTGAGGTGGTAGTAACCCGTCCAAGAAACTTATGCCAGAAATAATGGAGGATTAGATTATATCCAATTTTTCCATGGAAGACTTTTTGAACGACTGAGGTTTCATCTTAGCAAAAATTACCAGGCTGTTAGGGTGACCTGGTTCACGTACATGTACATGTAGCTGAGGTACACATTATGGCCTGCATTCTGTACGGGTACCATCAGTGACACATTGTTTGAGTTCGGGCGGCCTGTTCTTGACACAAGTTTTGTGTTCTCGGGCTCAAACAGCGGGAACATGACCCAAGAATACTGCTCTCGGAACAGGTTCACACACCACTTCCTTGTCAGGGTTTTAAACGAACACACAGAAAAACTCATGAGATTTGATTTTTGAAAAGCTGCGAAAACTATCGAGAGGGCTTACAATGCTGGAGACAATGGAAAGTTTTCCAAAATTAACAATAATTTTCCATGACAGATACGATTTTTAATGGAAAAGAAGTTACCCCAATTATCCAACATAAACTCTCGAAGAATGCACAAGACGCCACCATGTTGCTTGCATGCTACAGATAGCTAGTACCGATAACCGGATGTATGTTCCCAGCATTCGAGCGGCTGACCAAGGAACAGCAAATCGAATTGTTCGTGAACATACGAGAACAAGCCGCCCGAACTCAGCCATTCAGGGAAGAGATAATATTTTTGCTACACCTGCCATCCAGAATGGAATTTTTTCTTTATTTTTATGGAAATATATTTGCTGCTGAATTGACATATGATAACAGCAGACTATTTTCATGTTTACATTTAAGTTGCACATGCTCATGTAGTTTGTACAGTGTGGCTACTGAGCTCTAATTAAAAGACAAATCTTGAAATCAAACAAAACAAGAAAGGCCATTCTTTACTCCTCAAATGCAAATCCTTAAATGAAATCAAAGAAGTGCATGTAAAATAGTAACATATGATTTCTAAATCTATAGTTGTGAAGGAAGATACATTTTGTTCTATGCAGTGCACGCTAGGCATAAAGAACAATTGTTGGTCACAATCAGCAGATGTCACATTGTTGACAAATCTATTTATCTTTTTCAGTACGAGATGGTGACACTGTTAAGCATTACAGAATACGTCAGCTGGATCATGGAGGCTATTTCATCGCAAGGCGGTCCACATTCAGCACTCTTTCAGACCTTGTCAAGCACTACACAGTGGAAGCTGATGGGCTGTGTGTCAACCTCCGCAAACCATGTGTACTGGTAAGATGCTTTTCACATTGTATTTACTAGTTTGTGTTATTTATTTGTAAATAGTGGTGAGCTTTTGTTTCTCAAATAATTCAATTGCTGTGACATATAAAGGCATGTTTAGGCCTTTTGAATAGAGGGAACGTGCTTACATGTACATGTGTGTTTCACTGTGGCGGTTTTGTGCACTTTGGAAAGATAAAATACTCCCATGGACATAGAGGTTGAAGGGACATGTGTACATATTAACCCTAACCTTCCTTAACCACACAGAATTCAACACCAGTAAAGTGTGTGAGTTTGTGGCATTGGGTACTGGTAGCTTACTATCTGGTGTTTAATTTTGTGTGAATGGGTACTGTAGGCCTGCCCATACCGTGTTGAATTGGGACTGAATGGGTACTGTGGCCCTCTCACTTTATCCCAGCAGTTTGGGATGGATATGCAGCATGATGGTGTGTGAGTTTGTTTGAATAGGTATTGCCTGTCCATGCTCTTTGTACTGTGCAGTGGGCCTGCTATACCCAATCAAACAGAATCACACAGGTAAAGACCTGTTGGAGTTTGTGGGATTGAGTACTCTTGCAGCAGGAGTACTGTTGAAGTCTGTGGGATTGGGTACTGTGAGGTAAGAGTGTTTTTCCAAGGTGTTGAAGTTTGTGTGATTGGGGAAGGTTAGGTCCAGCAACCCTTGGGCGGTTAGGGTTGGCTAATGTTGGCCATTTCTGCTCATGGGTACGTTCAGTGCTTCCAATGGCATAATCAAATGTGTAATGCAGTGTTCAAGTATTACCTCAGGTGTGAGTCTGTCCTTAACTGATAGGATTTATATGGACATACCAATATGATGTGTTATCTACTGTATAATTACAGTGATTACAATCAGTCTGCTGATAAACTGTTCAGTTGCACTGGCACGTGAATATTCACAACTGAAATTCCAAACCGATTCAGGTGGAGAAGCCACAGACGATTGGGCTGTCCTACAACACGGCTGACCAGTGGGAGATCCCCAGGAGCTCCCTGCAGATGGTCAAGAGGCTAGGAGGTGGGCAGTTTGGGGAGGTGTGGGAGGGACTTTGGAACAACACGACCCCAGTCGCAATCAAGACTTTGAAACCAGGTATGGTCAAAGAGAAGCCCAAGCTTCAGCATTGGCTATCTGTATGGACATGATGGAAGATGAGGTCCTGGTGTAGTTCTGTTATGTCTGTTCTGTCCGTCTAAGACAATCTGTCCGCAATCCTCGTGTTTTCACGTGAGAAAACAGAGATAGCTGCAATGTAGTACTTTTGTCACAGCAGATGTTCATTGTTTCGTTTTCATTCATCTCTGGAATACCTCATTTTACCCAACAATTCTTTCAAAAGAGGAAGTAAAGGCTACAAACAACATGATCTTTTCACATAGCCGAACACGTTTTGTGTTCAGGAGTCATATTTACAGGTGTATCAGGAAACTATAAGTAGAATGAGTGTAGACCAAATGTTGAGACAAGCACTGCTTAGTTCCTGATTCCTTGTAATTGTGCTTGGCAGGTACTATGAACAAAGACGACTTCCTCAAAGAGGCTCAAATCATGAAGAAGCTGAGACACCCGAAGCTGATCCAGCTGTATGCAGTCTGCACCATGGAGGAACCCATGTACATCGTTACAGAACTCATGATCAATGGGGCTCTGCTGGATTACTTACAGACAGGTGAGTCTTTCAACCCACTTCAATAATTGGATCTCAACCCATGTGTTAGGAATAATTGGTAATACAGGTAATTGAATTTCATATGTGACATATCTTGGACAGATTATGTATTAATTAAGGTAGGGATAAAGTGCAGGTTTTTGCTTTACAACATTGACAAAACTTGCTCTGCTAACATACCTAAATGCATGGATGTTGACGGAATATATTGCTTGGCCTTTGTGCTATTGTGAGTATTCGAAAGGAATGATGACATGTCACGCCTCTCTCTCTAAATACTAACAACCCAGGTCGTTAACAGCAACACACCATGTTATAGGAATGTAATAGTAGCATTTTTTTATCTTAAATTTTTTCAGTCCATGTCCCTATAAAGATACAACTTCCTAAAACAGTTCTTTGCCACAGCAAGTACTCGTACGTAAGCCTACACGTACACAAACTATATTTAGTGTTTTTTTTCCAAGGGACCTTCCTCTTACTATTTGTTTTGATTTAAATGATTTTAATAGCTTTGTTCTTTGTTTTGATTTTCTCAAGATCAGTTGGACTAGTCGGGGCACATTTGCTGAGCGAAGTTACTAAAAGCAGAACAGAATAACATTCCCCAGGATGCTTCCACAGATGTTAAAACACACAAATCTGTTAAATGAAAATGTAATGACTGTTTTCACAATTTGACTGTGAAATAAGAAATATTGATTTTTCCATCTGACTTCCTGAAGTTAGCTTGAAGGCACAGCTGACCATTGCTTTCATTTTTGTACATGCCTGACAAGAACTTGAGGAAAGATTCATAGCAGGATATGTAACACAAAGGACTGTGATGTTGTTTCAATGTGTGGGTCTACACATTTACAGCTCAAGCAGTACGTAATAAAACTAGCCTTTTTTTGGCAAGGGTGGAATTTGTTTGCAGTGACCAGCTCAGTTGTTACTCTAATGGAGTGACAATATTCAATTGAGTTCATTTCCTCACAAGAAAATTCTTTTTTCACTGTGTCATTGCAGCAAAAGGCCGAATGCTGAAGCTACCTGAGTTAATCGACATGGCCTCGCAGGTTGCGTCCGGCATGGCCTACCTGGAGAAACAGAGCTACATACACAGGGATCTAGCCGCCAGGAATGTCCTGGTGGGAGAATCCAACATATGCAAAGTGGCTGACTTTGGCCTGGCAAGGATCATCAAGGTGGGGTTTTCCCATTGAAAATTATATAAAAATTATTATTTGCCAATATACGCGTATTAAACAGTTGGACTTAATAAATTGGTGTCGTATCGATACTGAGAGTCACATAGTGAAATACATTTCATCAGCTCGACTCCATAGACAGATGCATTAAGTTTGGTGAAATCTTAAATGCTGTAAGAAGATACTCCTAAACTATCTGTGATCTTTAATTTACCCCTTGTATCAGTTTGCCTTCCATGCATGAAGCACTTACATGTATACAACATGCTTGATTTGAAACAGGGCCACGTAATGGCAAGTGAAAATTTTCGTTCAAATAGAAGGTTTCATTTGAGAAATTGCCAATATGAAATGCTTCTTCCAATCGTGTAGCCAGGCTCTTCTGAGCAGGGGCAAAAGCGAAGCCCGGCTAGTTTTAAGGGGGGGCAATTCCAACTTGATTTATAGGCTAAAATAGGTCTGTGTCTACACTGCAGTAAAGGGTATCTATACACTACAGTTGGCATGGCAGAAGCTCTTCCCTTCCCCCCCAAAGCCCAATTATCCAGAGGGCAAGAGTTTCCCAGAAGACAGTTGTTTCCCCCCTCCCCCTTGCTAAGCCACTGGCTTCTTCCCCTCCCTTCTACCCCCCCCCTAAATTTGAAACAGTTGGCACTCTTAACAGAGGTGTATCAATGTTTTGGCTGTTTCAGGATGATATTTACGAGTCACGTGTTGGTGCCAAGTTTCCAATCAAATGGACAGCCCCAGAAGCAGCTAACTACCTTGCCTTCACCATCAAATCTGACGTTTGGTCCTTTGGGATTCTGCTCACAGAGATTGTTACATATGGCAGGATACCATATGCAGGTAAAAAAAAACAGTCCGGAGGCTAACACCAAATGGGCTTAATTACAAAGGGACTGTTACAAGAGTGAGTTATATTTGACTAAATATATGTACAGTTTGAGATGAAAAAATGCATCTTATCCATGCTCTCCTGAAAATCTATTCAACAGATTTCTTCCTGCTACAGGTTTACCCCCCCCGCAAAAAAAGACACGTACTTGTATACTGAAACAGTGGTTGTTCTTCCAAAACTGTTTTTCATAATGTAATTTTTAAATATGTGTATTGACTTGTGGTTGAGTTTGCTGAAACTTTTGCATTTAGGAGCAGGACGGTCATTCATAAATAATCTTTTAACAAAATTTGAAGAGTAGTGTGAACTTTATTATTTATCAGAGACCGTTGTTATTTTCATCCAATGTCTCATAGGCTGCAAGGTGGAAGGGTCCAAGAAGTACAATTATTTTACTTGCAACCCTTGAGAATGCAGACTTGTGATTAATTTAATTCATAATCAGTTTTTATTTTGCTGTTTTTAACAGGTACCATTGCTTTGAGTGGTAGAGTAAAACCAGCATTATGAACTGATCTATTGAGTAGGGCTGAATCAATATGAATAATTCACTATTTGAATATTTGACCTTCAATTTGATCGAACATTTGAATATTCACTCCTACCGACTGGCAGATTTTTGAGGAACAAACAATATACAAAATTAGTTGCAATAACGTACACAGTTGTTCATTATAATCACTAAAATAGCTTTACACGTCTATGAGTATCTCCAGCCACAATTGAGCAAGATTTAAGAGACGCATAACACTTCTTTTCCTGTTGAAAGTGTCTATCCCTTTAAAATTTTTTAATGAATAACGTACCTTTTGAATCGTTGTAAGGTTTCTGTCCCTTTTCATTTTAACCTGCTTGGTTTCAAGCCTCCATGGTGCAATTTTTCTCATTTAAAACAAACAAAAAATCTCCCTCCCTTTTCATGAATTTTGCATTCGAACATTCTAATTCAAAAAAATAATATTCAAATATTCGATAATGAATCAAATATTTGGTTTTAAATTCAGATATTCTCTACAGCCTTACTGTTGAGAGTTTAAACAGACTATGTCAGGAGGCTAATTTTACTGTACTCCTTAGTTAAAGCAACATGTTTCACAGTTCACATCACTTATGGCTCTTTCACAATGTTGATTCCGCAGGTTACACCAACAAACAAGTACTGGACATGGTGGAAACTGGTTTCCGTATGCCCTGTCCTCCTGGTTGCCCCCAGGAGCTGTATGAAATCATGCTGGAATGCTGGAAGGCCAATCCGCTCGACCGACCCACGTTTGAAACACTTCAGTGGAAATTGGAAGAGTTCTTTGTCAATACCGGTGACCAGTACAGGGAACCATCCGCTATCAATTGATAATGGCTTGGAGAAGTGATAAGCTGTGTCTGAATTACTTGGCTGCGGCTTGAAATTACGTACAACTCTATGGGAAGTGGCTGTTGTTGCAACCATGGACATATGTAATTTTAAGCTGCAGCAGAGTTATTTAGATGCGAACATAGAATGGTTTCTAATGGTGGTTATGGGGGAAAAAGTGAATATAATAAGTAGATGAAATCAACACTTTAGAAACATGAAAAAAAATGTTGGTGTGTACCAGGATATTGCCGGCCTCCTGTCATGTTTCATAAAACTTTTGGTGGGATGTTGAACTCAGCCATGACAGCTCACACATCAGCCATGTGACCTGTCTTGCGACCTGCACCTCAGTTGAGTCAGAAGTGGTTGTAGGACATAAATCTCCCAGAAAACAAAAGTCAGAGGATTTGACATGTAGCATGACATGAATAAAAAGTTTTTACTCGTATCATTTTCTTTCCAAAAATAATCAGAAATTAGAAAATGCTTCTGTTCTAACTGGATCATAACGTGTACAAATAAGTATTAGCCAGTTCTGTATTTCAGCTGGCTCACAAAGGCTGCATCTGAACCATGTTTTTTTTTGTCTGTGGCTTGGCTATTCTCATAGGTGTGGCCATGTTGAATGTCACAGCCGTAGACAAAAAGGATTGAAGCACACCTCACCTTTCTGTCTGGCACCGGATGTAAAATAGAAAATTGTGGGAGTAGAATGCCTGTGTAAAGATACAACATACTTGTTCAAATTGTTCATGTGTCGTTCTCAAATGTTTTGCACTGACTTGTTTCAGTTCCATCACAACAGTGAAGATGGATCAAAACTATTTACCTGTATAATTGCACAATTATGTATGCAAATACAAAGGCAGGTGCTTTCTTGTGGGTCATACCCTCTTTTGAACTGATGCAGCATTTCTCATTCGTACATAGAGTCAAATGTACTGTAAATGTATGGTTTCAAAGTAAATATTGTGGGAATGCCAATGTACATTGCCCTTTGTACTTGCAAGGAAACTCTATCTCTTGTCGGTATTAAACCGCTGTCAGGAGATATGTCACGCAATCAAAACTTTTCACACAATCATTTGTGTCATGACTTCACCAGGCAAAGTGAATATTCTTCTGTGCAATGTTGACTTTACATGTAGCAGGACAGAAGTGGTGATTTCCCAGAAATGTCCTTCTCTGAACTCACGACAAGGCATTTTGCATTTTAAGTGTAATATAAACACTCTGCTTAAAGGTAACTGCTCGTGTGTAATTGTTTGAAATTGGAACTGTTTATACTATCTAAATTATATGTGGCTGGACATGGTACGTGTCCATGTACTAGACATTTGGTTTCCATAGTGACTGAGGAAAAGTATGATCTGGTTTTAACTAAAAAGTAGAAGAGAAGGTATTTAAACAGATCACAGCAAATGTTTGAGTTTTACAAATATTTGCTTTCATGGGGGTTTGACTTTAGCTTGTATTCATTCAGTGCTTGAAAGCGTAGTTGGTTGAAAGGTTTGCGATACAGTAGTCATTCAAGACCATAAATAAAGAGTGGGAAATGACATCTAACAGTGTGGCAGTGGACAAGGTATGATGTGATAGAATGCTGTCGGTATCATTAATTACATTGATCATCAATACACAGAATGATAAGCTATGATTTTTATGTCCCTACACATGGACAGGTGCATTTTATTTTGTAAGTTTTCAGTTTATTTGTTTTATGTGTCGGGTTTTTTTACATGTGCATAAACCAAGCAGAATTCACCAATTCGAAAGTGCGCATGACTTTTCCGGAAGATAATGCGACTTGTTTTCAAAAAAAAAAAAGCTCACTGCAGAGCTGACTTCTTGACGTGTAACTGATTGTTGTGCATCTGTTTTGTTAGGCAGAAACAGATTCTGTGGATTTACTCATTGCTTTGATTTTTTAAAATAATTTTTTAAAAGGTGTAAACCAATCGTAATGCTCTCTCTCTTTTCATATATGCTTAATTTTACGTTCATTTTGAGTCTAATTAATTTCAGTTTGATTCAGATATATGAGTACTACTGCATGCTTATTTCAAGACCTATTACTCTACACCTATGGTCAGTCTGCCATACCAAAACAAGTTTTTGAAATGCATGCGTATGTTTTAAAATACCTAAATTATTATACAGTAATGAGTTTGTGGACAGATGTATGTATATAAGTATTTTTTTACAGCAGTGAAGAAATTTTTCATGTTTTTCTGGCCTACCAGTTACTGCAGATGATGTGGAATGAAACTCTAAATACTGATTACATTTTAATTTTCTTGCCAAGGGATTTACTTGACACTGCATACAGACAATTAGGAGGAGATGCCATTCTTGCGGGGCCATCACACTCATGCACGGGTCTTAACTTGAGCACGGGTGTGCATTTTAGCAAGCCACAATACCCTATAGGTCCAAGATAAATGTAATGCACACATACCGCTTAGGTGAGAACAGGATGACCTGCCATAATGGCTTCTAATTCCGGTTGCTGGAATAGTTTAATAGCTGTGGAATATGCACATCTAAGAAAGTTTCATAGATGATCAGAAGGAGAATAAACTTTGGTGTGGTTTTAACCCCCTATAACCCAGGAATCAGAGGCAAGCTTGGGGCAAACTATAGTTCTACCAACAGTTATTTGCTTTTTAGCATTGTGCACTCACGATACAGTTAGCCTTGAACATCCTTTGTTGAACTATTTTGTGAAATCTCTTCATCACTCGCAGTTTGCCATTTACTACAACTCCCAAGATGCACATGGTCAATGACATCTAAATTACTGTCTTGTGAATGGTTCCCTCTGTACTGATTAATGAAGCCGACTACTGATAACCAGTGGTGCGACCTAGGGACTGGTTCCAGATGGTTGAATAGATCGTCCAAACGATCCATCATTTCGGTGATATTTCTTTAAAAACTACAGTCATCATTTAAACTTCAAATGATGAATTTCAAACAGTACCATGTTGTACTGAAAGTTAAAATGGATGAGTTGTTGAATCTCAGAATTAGACTGTAAGGTTGAGTTCGGGCGGCCTGTTCTTGACATGGGTCTCGTGTTCTTGCTCCTGAACGGCGGGAACATGACCCAAGAACACTGTTCTGGGATCAGTGTTGACACACCACCTGCTTATCGGGGTTTTACACGAACACACGGAAAAACTCGTGAGATTTGATTTTTGAAAAGATGTAAAAACTATCGAAATGGCTTACAAAACTGGAGACAATGGAAAGTTTTGCAAAAATAACAATAATTTTTTATGACAGATATGATTTTTTTTTACGGAAAAGAAGTTAGCCCAAACATTAACTCTCGAAAAATGCGCAACGATGCCGCTATGCTGCATGTTGCTTGCATGCTACAAATAACTAGTGGTGATAAGCGGTTGTACGTTCCCGGTGTTGATTGCCTGACCCACAACAAATCAAGCTGTTCGTGAACATACGAGAATAAGCCGCCCGAACTCGGCCTAAATTACACTGTAGATTAACCCAATTGTTGGTGGTTTGTCTTGGTTTTTTGTGTGGCATCTTATCAGTGTATTCTTGACATTGTTTTATAAAAAAGTACGACATTTTCTTGGCTACATACACATACACTGGAGACTTTTCCTCGGCGGATTGTACAGACACTTGAAATTGAGGATTTGGCCGTAGACGCTCCTCCTTTCACTTAGAATTTGCACTTGGCCAATCAATTGGAAATCAGTCATAATTAAAAAAAAAAAAACTATTTTGGTTTGGATGTTATGCAGTGAGAAGTTTTTTTTTAAACACATTTTACCAAGCAGTCTGGGCATGGAGGCCAGAATTTTTGTATTCATTGTAAAATAATTTATGAGCAACTCAAATGTTGCGTGAACATGTAAGTGGAAATTTATCCTTGACTATTAATGGATGTGATTTACTTCAGGTTTTAAGGGGAATAAACAGTTGAAGATGCAATACATTGTAGTAGCTGAATTGCTTTCACTGTGATTTATAAACCAGTCATTGGATGGAAAATAAGACGGTATTCTGTTTTATGCATTAGTCTTGTTAGAAACTGTGAAGATGTTTTATAGCATGTATAATTCATGTTGTATATTGTAATCTGGCATTTTTTTTCAAACATCAAGTCAAAAACCTAATTAGAATTTCACCTCAAGTCCTTGATATTGGTAGTATGCCAAGAGCTTGAGTGCGTCAGTGGTCTGTTCATTGAAGTGCCAAAATAGGGTTTTTGTTCTCTCAGTTGCATAGCTGAATCCTCGGTATAAGCGTAGTTTAAAGTTCAGGGATCAAGTGATAAAATATGAAGCCTTGTCTTTTCCATTCATGTATTCAGAGTTTTTTTTATTGTACTGAAAGGTGTGGTGTTTGTTGGTATAGTGATGGGGGAAAGAACAGTGGATAAACACAGTCTCTTGAACATGTATTTGAGTATCAAACATTGTATGGTCTATTTGAAATAGAACGTAAATTGTTTTGGAATCTTTTTAACAATTCATTACTCTCCATTTCACATTGCTATAGAAAGTAATTTTGATTGGAGAGAAAAAACTCAAACGTAGCAAGCAAATTACTTGGAATGTGGGGGTTTCTATTAATGTTCAGTGTTGAACAGAATGGAAAACAGACGCGCTAGATTTTATCCATTACAAAACTGATGGGAGTTATCCCAACTGTTCTGGTGTCATACTGGGAAGTTTTCAACCTGAACTTGTGGAGATAATACAAGATCATTTGTCCATATTACTGTACAAGGCATACAGTGGATAAAAGGTTTCATGACATGAAATTCAACACAGCTTACACAGTAATTGTCTTTCTTGAATTTTAACCTCTGCTTCATTTTTTCTGTACAGAGTAAATTTTATTGATGTAATGTTTGTATGATGTGGCTGCTCAAAAGCTTGTCATACATAACACTGAAAATGTCACAATTTACAAAAATCTATGCTTTGTTCATTGCTGCACAAAAAGTAGAGTATATGTCAGTTGTTTGGAGTAATCGGATGGAATAGATGTGATGTTTCTGGTGACATTAGACATGGCTTGTAGATGTACACACACATTAAATTTGAACAGGTAATGGTAATGTCAAATAATTTGACTGGATTTTCGTAATAATGTGAAGCCCAGAGATGGGTAGCAAAATGTTTTTTGTCAACTTCCATGTATAAATGGCAGTAAAAAATTGTCTGCCAAGACGCAGTGCGCATTTTTATTTAAAAATATTTTGTGTACGATGAAATGAACTGTGGACACTCCAAATTATTGCAAATAAAATCAATGAAATAACCAATGGTAAAATGGTCTTAAATGTGCATGTCTGTCAAGAGATATGAGGTAGGAACTTCTATACCATATTGCAATCACATGGTACCAATTTTCACATGGAAACCCTGTCAGTCTTTTTTCAATCACTTTAAATTTCAACAACTCTTCCCCTCACAAAACCCAGGTGAATGTTCGCTAATCCCTAGCGCATTGGAACACAGGCTTAACATGTTAATCAACCATGATATAACAAAGGGCAGTAGGCTCACGTACAACCACCACAAGAAAAATTCGCACACCATATTATAAAGATTTACACAAAAGTGGTTTAATTTAATCAGTCTACCCTCATCAAGCATCCACGCTATGGACTGAAAAAGATCACTTCCACTTCCCCATCTCAAAAACCTCGCAAAGAGTTGAACTTTTCTTTCCACAGCAAGCCATCTAGCTTGGCACTTCGACTGGCAAATGGTCATATTACAGGAACCACCACTTTATTTTTAAATTTTCCAGAAGCTCCATTCAAACTGAACATTCCTTTCCTATTTAAGAGTAAACTGAGATAAAAAAACTATTTAAGTCCTTGTATGGTCTTCTAAAGAGAACTTGTTAAAGAAAATGAAAGAGTTACTATTTTCTTCTTATTTTACAAATAATACATGTAAGATGCACCCTTTGTTGAATTGTCTCTAAAGAATAGTTTTTGTTAGGATGAAAGAAAATACGTGACGGTTTCAGTTACGTGAACAAGTCAATGATTTGCAATTGTACACCATGTTCAAAGGTGCAACATGATATCATGATGATGGTAGAAAGTCGCCAAATCTTTTGGATTCACCAATTTTTGTTGGTAGTTTTGGTGCTGCACAGCAATGAATTCACTATAACAACCTTGTCAACATTGAAAATTTTTGCCCCTGGCCTCAAAAACAGAATGTTTCTGATAATGTACGAATAATCAGCTTAACAACTTCCTAAATTCTTAAGCTAATTATTCCCCTTTCTTCACATCCTTTGTGGAAAAGGAGAATGTGATACACTGCCTAAGAGCTGATTCAGCTATATCCACTTCTATTTGTGGTTATTTTTGAGAGTGAGACCGATAGTCCAATGTGACAGACGTTTTGCTGAAGCAACCAACCAACCAAATGTGAATACAATGTCAAAAAATGTTGACACATTATATATTGCTTGCAGTCATGTTAAGCAAATAGGAAAAAAAAAATCTTGATCCAAGGGCACATTCATGTATCCTACCAATCACCATATCTGTACAAGTAAAAAAAAAGAAAGTGAACACTATCCCTAAACTCTAGCACTGACTGAAAGTATATAAATGACTTGCTAATCTAAACACTGACGAAGTATGTACTATAGTCCTGGGTATTAAAACATTAACCCTCCTATGGTTTTACA